GCTACGTTCCTCTCTCTCTGTCTCTTCTCTCCGTTTTCGCTCCCCTCGTTTTCCTTCGTAGTACGTATGTACGTTTTCATCTATTTTTCTTGCGCTCTCTCTCTCTCTCTCTCTCTCTCTGTCTGTCTGTCCTTCTTTTTCCCCCCCATGGTCACCCCACCGCGACCCATCTTCTCCCACCACGCACTGATTTCACGTTGCATCGGCACCCCTCCACTCCGTGGTACCAGCGCACGAGCACCCACGAGAACGCTCGAACAAATCCGAGAACCGTCTACATTGTCGCCGTGAACGCACACTAGCTGCGCACACGCCGTGTCGAGCGTGTCGTTTCTCCTGTTTGTCCTCGTGTCTCGTCCTCGTCGCGCTTTCGGCGAAACCTGGACCGTCGATTGTATAATCGCGGCGAGTGAGAGAAAAAGGAAGGAAAATCGAGGAAAATGAGGATGATATCGAAACGAAAAGACCCTTTCGAAAGATTCCTTTCTTTCAAATACAGAACCCCTAAGCTTTTCCTACACTGCAAGTTTGCTCGAAATTTATTAAGTAAACCTCGATACTTTTCGTTAAACAGCGAGAAACTCACACAAGATGAATAACAAAAATATGTATCTCTGTGATAAATTTTATCCTTTTTGCTTTCTATGCGAGATACTTTGAATAATAACAATTCGTAGAACGTAGACTATAAAAGTAGCTACGTGAAAAAAATATCGGCAATGCTAAGAACGTCTCGCAACGGGTAGCAAGTGGAAGCGAGATACAGCGACTCGTTCCATTATTAATGTTTATAGCGAACCGACGACGAATATATGCAGGGGACTCGGAATTAAAAGTTTTCACGGTCGATTTGAATTTGTAAATGTACGAAAAGCTCTTCTGAAGAAAAGTTGGCGAACGATCTGCGAGATTTCTCAAGCCGTCGCGATCCTTTTGCTTTTCATCAATTCGAAATACATTTTTCAGGCTGGCAGACGTTGATCGAGTGCATCCTGAGAAAGTAATATCGCTGAAATTGACTATTGAATCGGATGAAGAAGTTATAGGCATAACTCAAGATCCTTGTTGTCTTTCGACGCTTGACTTTATAATTTTTATCGACGTGTAAAATAGATCCTTTAAATAGGTTAATTATTCTAATTAATATACAATTTAATTTCTTAGACGTTTTCTAATAGATATTTTCTAAAAAAATTATTACAAAACACAACTGTTGATTAAGCATCTCTTTGAGTCAATAAAAAATAGATGCAATAAAATAGATTTTATTTGCAATAAGAAATAGATTTTAGAAAAAAAGTTAAGAACAGTTAAAAAGTGGAGGATTCCAAGATAAATTATTACGTTCAAGCTAGTTCTAGCGACAAGTTAGATACGTACAACGTCGGCGATGATTTTATTATAATATGAAATGTTGAGTAAAGTAAAATTTTAATTACTTACGGACAGCAATATAAATCACGAAACGAAAAGTGAGTCTTTTAAGGCTTTTAAGGGAAAAGAAAAGTGACACAAGGAAGAATAAAAAGGACGAGAAATGTCAGGCGTAGCGCGTTATGCTCGTTCAAAACTCGACAAACGAAGGTAAAGATGACTAGACGGATTCCTTAAGTGTTGCCCCAATCAGATCCCATGTCACTTGGTTCATTAATCCATTCAGGGCGTACTTCGAAAAGTTCCATGTTGTATTATACAGTGTTACGCCGAATGTAACGACATGAATATATAGTGACGTTCAGAATTTGAGGAATCTCGAGCGTAACGAGATCCAATCAAATTATAATTGTATCGTATCGATGTATGTATGTACGTATGTATAAAACGGTTTACGCTGAATCGAATGTCGCAAGTATACATGCCTCTTACGTTTTTTAGTAGAACGAAAATCAAATGTAAATGTTTAAAATGCTTTCTTCGGTTATTACAAAATACTTATAGTTTCATACCAAATTCCTCCAGAAATATATCGTGGCGCATGCTTGCTTTCCACTGATCCCTTCGATTCTTCGAACGCAAACAGCAGAATGCTGCAGAAAAAAAACCGAGATACGATGAGACGCATCTCGCGTCTGTTGTGTCGTTAGGTGTGTTTCTGTAATGCTGGCCTACCTTCGATTATTTGCGCGCCCGATATCGAGAGAGAAAGAAGGACAGATCGCGAGCAAAAACGATGGCGCAGAAAGAGATAAGAATAGGTGTGTGTATCGAGAGCTCTGCAGCAATCCAGCAGAGAGCAGCACGGCTGAAACGCGAGGATTTGCAAACAATAGGCTCGTAGCGGGGTGGATTCTTTAGATGGCGGCTTGATACGCATCGCATTTACATATTATTGCTATTATTAGGTAAACGGTCCTTCGAGCGCCTCTTTAACACTACGCGCTTGCCCTTCGACGTATTTTACGAGCGACCGCGAGAGGCCCTCACCGATAAAAGCCGAGACCATAGCGAACTGAACCAGCGCCGCCTGTCGGCCGGCAAAAATTCAACCACCACCCGGACCGAGTGGGTGGCTGGAATTGTAAATAATCGTCCAGAACCGCTGGATACAGATCCTTATCACCCTTTATGCCCGCCACTGTCCCATTTCGTGTGGATATGACTCGCAGACTTGCCGTCAAACGCTTTGAAACATCTTGCTGTCGGTTGTTTTTAACGTCAAAGATGTACGCTTCAAGATTGCTGCGTGATTATCGGTACTGACACAGTAACTTTCATAACCTGTCGCGCGAATCGATGGTTTTTCGTGCAGTTTTGTCACTAGTACGTAATATAACATGATATACGACACGTTTTTTTTTAGATTTATTTAAATACGTTAATGCACTTTTGGATCTATTTATTTGCACTGAGATTGAATTGGAATTTTCATTGAGTTTCGATTGAGCAGTTAATTTACCGGATTATATGAAACGCACGAGTGAGGGCGCAAGAATCGCATGTAACGTATATAATAAAAGAGAAAGGTGAGGCGCAAAAAGCAACTGTTTTGGAAAAAGAGTTTCAGAATTCAAAAATTTGTGAATACGTTTCACAAATTATGTAAGAACACCTGATATCGTAACTCGGTACGTATTTCCCACTCGAGAAAGAAATGAAGAAGATAATTATATTTATATGAAATTATACTGATTCAATAATGATAATAATAATAGTAATAACGCAAGATTATGAGAAATCGGCTTTTTATATTTGGCAACGCTGTGCAGCCGCGTGCGCATCGAACTTCTCTAGACCGCATGACGCCAGGATCGAAATTAAAGACGCGGCTTCGGGAGGTAAGGGGCCCCCGACGACGAAGTCGTGGAAAGCAAAAAGGGCGGAAAGAAGGGATCGGAATCACTCGATAAAACAGGGCGACGTTGGAAGCACCGATAGGCCCCGGAACGATTCTCCATTGGGAGAAACGTTGCGACGTGGGGTGAAGGGGAAGAGAACGAGTACGTATACACAATGGGGCCCCAAGAAGAGGAGCCGAGAGCAAAAGCGGTGAATTAATTGTCGCTCGCGCCGCCGACGAAGCCGCCACGATCCGCAAGCCTGATTTGTGAGCCGCACGCGTGTATATCGTATGTGTATCTACCCGTTCCTTTCTTCTCCCCTTTTTCCCCCATACCCCTGCCCATCTTCCTCACCCTCTTTGCCCTTCTTGCTCGCCCTCTCTTTCTCACTGATTCTTTCGTTTTCTCTTTCGTACGCTCTCTCCTCCCTTTCCGTTTCTTTGATTCTTCGCTGCTTGATCGCCTCCGGCGTGCAACAAGGAGATCCATGTACAGGTTATACGCAACCATGGTGGTAGAGACTGACAATGGAAATAAGTTCAAAGGCACGGCAAAGTAAACAGGCCAGTGTAAGAGAGACGGAAAGAAACAAAAACAAGAAATGATATGTAATGAAAAAGAAGCAAATGATAAACGGAGAAATAAGGGTGATAGACCGTGAATGAGCTATAAAAAGAATAAAGAACAAGATAGAGAAACAGAAAGATGTTATGAAAAATTCAGCAACCGGGTCTCTATGTTCCTTTTTCTTCTTCTTCTTCTTCTTCTTTCCGTCTTCTCCTTCCGCAACTCCTTCTGTCTTCTTATTATGTATATCTTATTCTCTTCCTTCTTCTCTCTCCTATTTCATCCCTCCTGTTTCACTTTTTCTTCTTTCCTTTTCTTTTTTTTTTTTTTATTTTTGTTTATTATTCAATAGAGACCAGGAGGTGCTCGTTAATTGATGGTACCGGTTGCGGTCGAGCGCAGAAAGCAGAGAGGGAGAAAAATCGAGGTAGACCCACGACGAAGGGGACCATGGGATCACCATCGCCTTATTTATAACGCCAGGGATAACCGAATTCACGATCAAAATCCCGCGTTCCGCGGCATTGATGGATCGTTGCTGCCGTGCACCGATCGTTGCGGCAGCATTGGTATTTTCAAATGAACCCGCCCTTTTTCCTCGTACGTTCAGCCCTCACCGTCCTCCAGCTAGTCAGAAGATTCCCTTCGAAACTGGGCATCATCGAATTCTCCCGACTAAATCGAGGTACAAACACACCGGACCTTTTGATTTCTATATGCAGCTGCCTTTCATCGATCATGGAAGCTCCGTCGACCCGCACAATGAGATGTTGAAATATGTGTTACCGTTGCGTCGATTTATTCGTCTCACTCTTCTGCAGCCGACGTCACACACCATTCGACAACTTTATCTTGTAATAACTTAGATTTATCTTATCAAAGAGATTACGACGAATTACTAGATATACATATGTTTGAATGTGATATCAAACAGAAAATGCAAACATTTCTCTGTTTGTTTGTTCTGTTCACGCTTCTGAATTGTATCTGGTTTTTTCAGCATTCGATTCAAAAGATTTTAATATAATTTGACACTGAAAAGAATTGTAAAGAAATAAACTATCAAACAAAATCTCACTTACATTGATATTAAACTTAGAAATAAAATAGAAAACTAAATATTTTATACTTACATGTGTATTATGATTATTTCAGGCTACTCGGCCGAGGTTCCATGCATGTCTTTTCCTGCGAACAGTTTCAAAAATTGATGGCATCAAGCGGCTTTAAAGGGCCGTGGCACTCGTTAGTGGATTTAGGAGCAGGTGACGGTGCCACTACTACTCATGTAGCCCATCTCTTTGAAAAAGTTTACGCCACAGACATATCAGCACCAATGAGATGGGCCCTAGCGAAAAAGAAGTTCACGTAAGTAATGTTCAATTTTTCAATTTGCACCATTCGAGGCGAAAATAGGGAAAAGATAAAATGTAAAAATATAAAAAGATTCTTACTTTACTTAACGAAACATTAGTGAAACAGAAAATTTTCACATACGTTATTTTTTTTGGAATTTTATTGGAGTTTAATTTCATTCATTTTATATTAAAATTTTAAAATATTTCATGAATATTTATAGATTTGTACATCATCTGAAAATTTTAATTGTTATGTTAATAAATAATTTTTAAAAATTGGGAAAAATGAAAGCAGGATCAAAAATATAATGTTTTCAGATTCATAAATTACCTTTATCAAAATTTTATAAATTATCTTTTTCTTCTTTTTAATATTGAATTTATTGTACAAATTCTGTAAAATATAAATGATACTGATTAAGAAAAATTCTGCTTTCCACTGGAAGTTAAATCACAATTTCATTTGTATATTAAACATTGTATATTAAAATTACATTTAAATTGACATTATTTTGCCACTTTCGATGTCTGAAAGTTGACTACTAATTCTACTTCCAAAAGAAAGTAAAACTCCGACAAAAATTAAGTTTCATAAAAAAAAATTGAGACTTATCATCGCGATTATTCCTGCAGTATAAATTTATTATTCTTAAATTTCGTATCAATCGACAAATTTTCAGCCTAGAACGAATATAGGATTCTTCATTTAACTATTTCAAAGCTTTTCGTCTTAATTAGATGCTCCGATGGCAAATGTCCAAGAGTTGGAGAAACATCCAATGATGGAATACTATCGAGGACAGTGCATATAATAGCCTAATAGTAATACACTACTACTACTAAGTTTATGGCATCGAATTGATTGGAATAAAAGTTTACGGTGGTTTTACACCCAGTCTCGCGTCGATACGGTTGCAATCCGAAACTGTTCGAATCTTAAGTAAATGTCTGTAGGGTGCGATGTACCCGTAACCGTTTTATAGAAATCCGTTTGCTCTTTTCCAGACGAGTTTAGAACCCTCTCTCTCCCCCATGATCTTAGGCGCGAATGAAGATCTTCGACGAGAAAATAGCAAGAAAAGTACGTGTTAACACTAAGAATATGATAGTAGTTAGAAATGCAGTCATCGTAGTATAAAGAGTGTAAGAGTAAATAATAACTTCGGACTACGGATCGTGTCCAAGGTGTGGCATTATGTGGGATCCAGTTATGCGAGCGAATTCGATACTTGAAAACAATTAAAAAATAGGTTTGTACAAACTTTAAGTTGATTTTGCTTCGCTTCGGAGTTCCAACTAATTTTTTCTCATCTAATTGCCATTATTTTTGTAAAATATGCTTAAAGGAATTATCTTTTTTTTATGATTTGATTATTATGAAGTGTTTTTTTAAATTTTTTAACTTATACACGATCTACAGATTAATAATCTGGTATAATTGGTATTTGTATTTATTAATGAAAAGAACATTTTGTGAAATCTAAGAAGTTTAATTTTCGTTACATTTTGTATAAAAATTTACTCCTCCAGTTTACTAAACAGATTTATTTAAATAATTTATCTTTGAAAATTATTAGAACATGATAACTTGTAACTTCATAATTGCGTATAAACATATTTTATTGTTTTTACGTATGGAATTTACTAAAACAAATCCTACATAAGATGCTACATTCTGCATTTATATTTAAAAATTAAATTATTTAAATTATATCATTCTTTTTTCTCTATTATTTTAAAATTAAATAAAATATATTAAATTTTTCGCTATTTTAAACTTTACCGAAAGTTTTATTCAAATCCAATTTCATTCCGTTCAAATCAGATGTTCATGTTATTAAAAATAATCGATATAAACAAAATAAATAAAATACTCTTTCCAAAAAATATAATCGTAAACTTGCATTTGTAATATCTGAATTCTCTAATTTCACATTTGTTTGTATATTTCTTTTAGTCTAAAGAAAAATAAATCATGCAACATTTTATATAAAAACAGGCTACTTAAAATCTTTGATTTCAAGTTACCCATATTCTCTACATACATACGTATATCTGCAGAGACCATACATTAATTTCCTATACCTTTGATCAAATAACATGCACGTAAATAAAATTTCAAGGTATTAAACGAACCATCAACACCCTAATACAAGATGATAAAAGAAAATCTTTAACAGATTGTGTGAATTAATCGTCTTTGTGAAATATATTAAACAACATATGCCCATTCTATGCCCATTCGGAACGAAATAAAAATGGAAAAAAAAATATATTTATTATTTTATAGAGTGCTGGATGTAGAGAAATGGTACGAAAGCGGCCCCTTCAACGTGATTCTCTGCCTGAATCTGTTGGATCGTTGCGATCGACCTAACACTCTACTACGACGTCTGAAGTCGTCTTTAGCTCCAGGTGGTCGTCTAGTCGTAGCACTGGTTCTTCCCTTTAGTCCTTACGTGGAAGTTGGTGAAAGGGGTGACCACAAACCGTCGGAATATCTACCAGTAAAAGGGAACGGCCTAGAAGGTCAAATAGCCAGCCTCGTCGACAGAGTTTTCGCGCCATTAAGCCTAAGGTGTCTCGTATGGAGCAAACTACCGTACCTGTGCGAGGGTGATCTCGGCCAAGCTTATTACTTTCTTGATGACGTGGTGTTCGTTCTAGAGGCACAGTCAGTTAGTATACAATGCTGTGAATTTCCAATGAGAAATAATTTCTAGAAAATTCATATGCTATAGAAGCTTTTAGGATAACTCACGATACTCAGCTTCCGAATGGATGGATACGGAACCGTCTGGCAGAGAATTCCGCAATTTGCTCCAGCAACAGACTGGTTACGAACGGAAATGTAATACAGGCAAGTCACACTTGTAAAAACTTTAATGATTGCTGTTCATCAGTTAGAATTATGCAAGAATACAGAAGAGCAATACTGGCAAGCGACAACGAGCTTAATGTGCAAATACAGCGGTAGCATTGGTGTATTATAATTCATCATTCGTTTGATCGATTATTCATTTATGCAACTTGATAAATGAACAACGACGGGTGCGCATCTTACAACGATCTTACTGTCAAAGTCAGAAGGTGCAGAAAACTTGTACACGGTTCCTATTGGTAATAAATATGACGCGAGAGCGGTAAAACTTGGAAACTGGATTCTGAACAACAGTTCGTACGGCTTGCGATTCTATCTCGCATACACCTAAAACGTTTAATTTGCCTTGAGATTCGGTTTTTTGTACCTTTTATCATCAGACTTTGTTTCCGTGCTCCCTCTTACTTTTTTTCTTCTCTTTTTTTTTCTTTACTTTTTTCTTCTTTTTTTTCCTATTTTCTTTTTTTTTTTTTTTTTTTTTTTTTTTTTTTTTTTTTTTTTTTTTTTNTTTTTTTTTTTTTTTTTTTTTTTTTTTTCTTTTATTATTTTTATTTGGCATACACGTAGCGACTTAGTCATGGATATGCTTAATCGTGTTCGACGACAAGACAAACCGCGATACATTCGCGTTGATCTTGTAATACGTAGCTACTAGAAGAAATAGGTCCATTTAATTGTTGTTGCAAATACACTTTGGCGTGTAACAGGTAAATCGTCAAAAATTACGTAGATGATATTGCAGCATTTACTTTTAAGATTCACGTCGATTAACAAAAAACATGGGATATACAGGACTTAAATTTCGGTGATATTTCAGATTGCATGCGTTGCGCAATGTATAACATTCTGTGTGCCAAATGTGGATGACCCTGAAAACTGTAACTGAAAACACAACTTGTACCTGTTTTGTCCACTAATCTCAAGCATAATCAGAACACCAGAAACTGTAAAATCGATTTGCTTCTAATAATTTCAACAATTTCATAGACAACATTAATCTGAAATCTATGTCGATTGTAAGTTTTATTATTAAATTTTATCAATAGACAACAGTTTACTGGCTTACATTATTTTTCCAATGTTCATTCCAATAGTAAACTGCAGAGACAAGGTAACAGAATTAATTTAGGATATAGAGAAGAGAATGCAAAGGTAAATGGTTTAATGTTTCGCATTATCTTCATGTGTGTGTATGTGTGTATATATATATATATATATATATATATACATACACACACACACACATACACACACCTACGTTAAATCATATTTCTTTAGGACACCGCTTGAAAACTATGAAAATAAAATGTTTTGTCTTTGCACAGCTTTTATATGTAATAACATCCACAATCCTGCAGCTTATATATATATGTATACGCAGCAAATTATTAAAAAAAACATTTTAAACAATATAAGTAACTTTGAAATATCTTTTATACTTTCTAATTTTTTTCTAGAAATTTCAACAATATTTTTTAAATTTTCTTTGTTATCTGTATATTTTATTTTCTCAATTTTAATAATAATTTTATTCAACTGAAATAATACAATAATAATGCAATAATACATACATAGATAATATGTACAAATGTATTGCTATGAATGATTACTCCAAATCACAAAAAATCAAGATACAGAGATTTTTAGTTCAAACTTTCAATATTGAATCAAATAATTTCGAAATAACTTGAAATTTTATTACATTCTACTGCAGACTATTGCAGATTATGTATTAAAAACAAAAAAAAATTATTTTTATATTAACATTATGTAACATATGTATTATAACATATGTATTATTTACATTATAACAAATATAAACAAAAAAGAAAGAAAGAAAAAATACTTTGAATGAATGAAATTATCGTCCCATTTTATGTAGTAGAAATATCCAAATCTTTTAAAATTTTTAAAAAAAGAAATTAGAAACACAGATGTAAATTTTGGATCACGGAAATCTGAGCCCTGCTAACAATCGATCGACATATTCGCTGCATGTGTCACAAATAAATTTACATGCGTTTTATAACAAATATGTTTATAGAAAGATATCTAAACAGAATCACGCGTTCACGCATTCAGTCACGTTCATATAAAATTTTTCTATTTGATAGCCGAAACTTTGCATCCATCGAACCTGTGTACAAACAAGATTCAGACATTCATCCATTTTCCACGTATTCATTACACAAATTTATTGTTTATATTCAGAAACATATAGTTTATATTTTGATATTATCGAGCAAGAAGGAAACATTTTACCATCGCAGATATGCGTATAACAATTGAGTTGAAACCGATTTTACCTCTACAACCAAAATAAAATGCATTTGCTTCGTTTCTTTCGATTTATCATACATTTTGTGGTTGCTAGAGGTAATATCTTTTGTAAGTAATATCAGTGCACAAAGAGAAAATTTTGAGCATCACTGCAAATCACGCTTCAAAAATTTTCTAATAATGTAAATTTTTGTCCTTTTCTTTTTTTTTTTTAATCGTATATATTAACGAAATAATTTACTTCTCGAAAAATATCTATGAATTGACCAATGACTCTTCTTTTTTTTATACGTGCACACCGCATGTTACTGCCCATGGAGCTTACAAATTATTGCAAGTTTTAACATTACCTTGTCAGATAATAATACTAGACATAACAACAGTATATGTTTGATCTATTTTTATAAATAATAATTTTATAAACAATAATTTATACAAGTACAATTTTTAAGAACCGTGTATATATATATATATACATGTAATATATATATAATAGAAATTGAATATTTATTTTAACTAGATAATTTTGTCGTAATTTTAATTATTTGAATCAAAACAATACCCCATAATTACTTAATAAATATTCAGAAATTAAATGATGCGAGGTCGAGCGACAACAAGAATTATGATTGCTTATTTATACCCTCATATTTATAACAATATCTAATTAGCAAACCTTTCACGCTTGTAAAGATTGAATTTAGTCTTTACATTTTGTTCAAACTTCTAGTGTGTACGTAAGATTTACTCATATAACAAAGAATCTTTATAATACAATGTTGATTAGATAATCATTGGAACACAAGTGGTGATCTGTTAAATCAATGCACAACAATAAGATATAAATGCCATTTTATGATACATATTCATAATATGCAAATTATACTCATTATGAAGTAGATAAAAAATTATTCTACCTCATAGTTTCCAAGTAAGCCCCATAGGCAGATTATAAAAATTCAAAGAAAACTTATAGCAACAAAATAAAGCTAACTCGAATTTGAAATAACGGTGTGAGTTCGATTGACTATATATAAATTTTTTTTTCACTACCCACGTTTATCACAGTCCACGCATGACTCGTTTTGTCTCTTAGTATTTTGAAGTCCTAAACGCCAACAACATTTGAGCAATCCTTCGGGTTGTTTAAATACAAAACACCCATCTAACCCATAAACACCACATGACTAGAACATCATAGAGCGCAAAGACAAAACCTGATCTACCGCTTAGAAAGCGAAGACATTTGTTTAGTCTAGCTTGCGTTGTTCGCATAACTCCTCTAAACCTCCAGTCTTTCTGCATAAAAATTATAACTCTTTATTTGATATCTCTAGTCATGTAACGAGGGTATACTTAAAATATAAACCATAAGAAATACTTACAATGATGGGAGATAGGGAGTACCCGTATGATCTAATCGATGTTTATCTTCATTTTTCCAGCTTGAGACAGGAATATGTGGAGGTGGCAGAAAACTTCTTAGCGACTGTATAAGCTGTATTGTATCCACCAGCGCTGTAACAAAATCGACACAAAGCATATACATTTTCTTTTAATCAATAAAAAGATATTGACGAGATAATTGTAAAAAATAATTGCAGGAGCACAGTATTTAATATCTAATAACGTCACACATCAATATAGTATTATATAAAATATAATTAGTTTATAAGGGAAATTTACTTGTAAATCTAACGAAAATATATTAAAACATAAATCATGGTAGATATTATGTATTTTATTACTTTTTTGCAAAGCTTCTGATTGTTTTCCATATGGTTTGCACATTGCAGGACGTACACAAGCTTTCATTCGTGCCATATTCTTCATAACTTCTGCAAAAGCTCTTACTATCTTTTCTTGTCCTCCTATAAAATAATTTAAAAAATAATCATTTCTTAAGACATGAACGTGTACAATATAAAGCAAGTGATGCCTGATATCGATATTTTGGCATAATTTGTCAAAATACTACACTAAATCTAAATGTAAGATAATAATACTGATGTATATAAAATTATCGTAAAATATCTCCTTAACCATTAGGTTTAGGACCAATGTGGTTTAATATTTTTTTACTTGAAATTTAATATTCTTTCAATTTATGATGAAAAAAATATATGGTCCAGTTAAAAAAAATAAAGATGAACTTGGAAATTTCGAAGTCTCTCAACACATACAAAAAACGCCATATTTTACCTTCCTTAAAACCAATTTTTGTATTAAACAATGTTTCATTAAACGCATAATTTAAAAGTTATTTCAACGTGCAAGTTACGTGAATCCTATATAATTTACTAACCTTCTGAATTTGAAGATGCTCGAGATCCTTTCTCATTTTCTAATGGCCAAGCTCCATTATGTAAAGCTAATAAATCCTTATTTGCATTTCCTATCCCTTGTAAATTTCCCAAACCAAGCCCACTGAGATTGTCCAAATTATCTAAATTCGTTCTTAAAAAGTCTGTTAATTTGTGATCAGACATTGGAATATTAGGTATTAAGGATTCATAATGTTGCTTCCCAGTGGCTACTTTTTTTTCTTGTGACACAGGTCTATGTGGAATATTTAATGACGGACGGCTTGGAGGACGTTGAAGATTCATTTGGTTCCCAGCACTTCTCATTTCTGCCAAATCCGCTGTTGATCCTCCTCCCATGTGAGTATTTGGATTAGCACTGCTTAAAGTCTATAATATAAAAGATAATTGATTTATAAATGTAACTGATTTATAAATATGTAGAAATTTATGTTTCTAGAATCTTGTAAATTATGCTTACTGCTTGAAAGTCTGTATTATGAGGGAAACTACTACGTAAGAGAGAAGCTGTTGTTTCATTTTCTTGAATATAAGTTGGTGCCATATGTCCCATTTTTTGAGTTAATTCAAGCTGATTTTTATAATAACGGCAAGCAGGATTTGGACAATTTTGTACCACCTCTATTATAAATTCTTTTTCCATACCAAAACATTCTCGTCCAATAGTGTATGATTCCATAACAGCTCTAACTGTCCCTTCTAAGCCCAAATGAAGACCATGTGGACCATTCATATGCTTTAACATCACAGCATTTGCAAAGTGTTCATAGGGCAATATTATTTTTCCATTTTCTCTAAGCACTAGCCTTCCCTGAGAGTCCAAAGCTATTCTTGATGCCATCATCCTATTTATACATTACGCAGGATATAATAAGAGGATTTTAAATTCTACATATGTAGTTACATTTTACAGAAAAGCGAATAAATAGTCTACATATAAACATGTTGCACAATGTAATATGTTAACATATGAAGATAATGTTAAAACTTAATGTTCTTACTGCAAATAGGCAGCACTTGGTATCATAGATGCATCTTTGAATTCAGAAAAACATTGCAGCAGTTCGATGCTTGGATTCCAACCTTTGTTTTGAAGATAGGCTTGTAATAACATATACATCTTTTCAGTAACATAACCAGCACTACTTGGTGTGCCAGGGTAACCAGATCCTCCACCTGGTGGTCCCATTTCGGTTTGCATACCTTTGGCAACAATGTTTTTCATAGTTTCTGCCAAGTCCATCCTGTACAAATAAAATTATCTGTTTCAGTGTTTCAAGAATTAAAAACAAAAAACAAAAAAGAAAGAAAAGAATTCATAACTAAAGTCTAGAATTAAAGAATGTGAGAGCATGCCATAAACATAAAATTAAGTAAACTGAATTGAATTGCCAAAGTTACGTGTAATTTAATTTCCAATTCTTTTTGTAAGGTAACATGATTTTAATTCACAGAAAATCTTCGTTAATCTCACAAGATCAACTTACAAAATTATCGTACACATTGAACAATCGTAGAAAACTATGTAGTTGAAAGTATTAAGATGCACAGTAGCCGTACCGATGCTAATTGACACATGTAATAAAAAAGGGTCAGGAAAATGTGTGTAGGTTGCCAGGGTAGCAAGCTTGGCATTTTAAAAATCCATGCATATTCGAATCCTCCGGCCATTGTTATTTTCGGGATGAAGACGTCTAAAGAAACGATAAAAAAACACTGATGCGAGCCACCGCCCCCCTTTTTAAAAGCGGGGGGAATGAACGTTTTGGACACTCACCCCGTACCGAGCACGACTTTCACTCACTCGAAGTGTAACCGGGAACACTACAGGACCCGTTTATCACCCTAATCGCCGTTACTTGGCATACCCTCATTAATGATTCTCCTCACATTTACAAATAACATAAATCGTGATAATTATTTCCGCAAGGATTGTTTGCGCGGCTGGCCACCAGAGGCGCATTGCCTTCACGATTTTTACTGTGTCCACGTATGTATGCACCTACAGCAATTTCAGCGCTTACGCGACGCTACTTCGCGCATTTATCAATATTACTTTTTGCAATTGATATCGCACGCGACGTGTTCTCCAATTTTTCCTATCGATTTAACGAGAAACCATATATTACAACTTTCGTACATCTCGCGTCCTATTACTTTTATTTTAATTGTCATTTTAATTGCAGCAAAACATTTAATTTTCTCTAATATGTTTGATATGTTTGTGTCAATATATGTTTATATGTAATATGTAATATGTCATGTTTGATATGTTTAATATGTCAATATATGTATAAACATATGTATGTATTGTATGTAATTAAAATATATAATTATATCTTCCAAAGTATAGCAATTGTTTTATATTTTTCGCATGTTAAAGGCACGAACGATTGAATACCGAGATGTAATACAAACAAGATTGAAATATATATAATTGATAAGATTTGAAAATGCATATAATTGATACATTTATATGTTTTATTAGAAACTTAAAATATTAAACGACGTATTGATATTGCCCACGGTATTTTCTTTTGAGATATAGCATCAAGTAACGTTATTATACACTAACTATTTTGCGTTATCTATGGAAAATAATTTTCCATTTATAAAATTATAGCTGCAAATACTAATTGTTAATTGTTTAATTATTAATAGAAGCTATATATAAAATTAAACGTGCAGTTAATATAGCGAAAAGTGAACTTGAATTTTCAAAATTATAACGATGTACATGTTTCTTTGAAATCGTGCAAAGTTTATTGAACATTTGTAAAACATACACAAATGCTGACATACGATTTAGATTCTAAAGTCAATCATATTAATAAACAATAATATTTGTAATTTAACTAATTACAGTGCTTCATGTTGACCTCTACTATCACATTCATATTCATTTGCACGACACTGTATAACTTCTGTTTTAGAAACATGTGAACTGGATTACAACTTCAAAGAGAATTCAAATTTAAATTACACAGCAACAGTGATACCAATGACAAAAACAGAAAAAAATATTCCAAAGAGCGTAAACATGGCCTCGCGGTGTAATCACGCTATTCAGCGAGTTTTAGCAAAATTAGAAGCATCCATAAATTCGGAAAATTATTATGAAGCTCATCAAATGTATAGAACTTTGTACTTCAGGTGGGCCAGTAACGTAATTAATCAACATCGTCAAAGAATCATTTTTATACAATCGTCGATATGATTGCTTAACCTCTTCTTCCAGATATCTCGGCCAGAAAAAATATTCGGAACTTTTGGAATTACTATACAATGGTTCTACTCTTTTATTACAACACGAGCAAGTACGTAATTTATTCTGTTTATTCTTTTTTTCATTTTCATTGATTTTACAAAACACGTCGCGAAGAGAATTATTTTCCAAATAACGTCATAATACACCTCGTTAACTGTTATTTACGAATTTCTTTTCTCGAACAGTCTATAATCAAATTCTGTTGTCAATTATCATTAATGTCTGTTACGTTGAAGTATATTTTTCTAAGTAAAAACTAAAGATACTCTAGATTATTCTAGAATACTTCAATATACGTTACATGAGATTATGTTCTACATCAATTGATAATAGCCTGTAACATTGAATTACATGTAGCATGTTTATAATTATTTGTTCATATTGATGCACAAAAGAATATTGATAAATTATTATATTATTATATTATTATATTTTATTACTTGTAGCATGCAAGTGGAGCTGACTTAGGAATTTTATTTGTAAATGTTTTAACACAATCAGGAACAGAACCTTCTCAAGATTATTTTGAAAAAATTACAAGCTTGTTCAGTTTAATGAGCCCCATATCACCTGAAAGAGATGTATTTGTACAATCTGCTCTTAGATGGAGTATAAAGAGTACAGAATATAAAACAGGTCATCCAGATTTACATCAAAAGATAGCACAAGTATTTTGGAGAGGTAAATTGAGACAATAAATATTTAAAATGTATAATCATTATTCAAGTTCAATCAATATGTTATAAATTTTTGTAGAAAAAAATTATGTAATGGCAAGACAGCATTTTATATATAGTAGAGATGGTTCTGGATGTGCTGCAATGCTTGTTGAGCTCCATGAACAACGTGGTTACAAAAATGAAATAGATCTTTTTATAGCCCAAGCAGTTTTGCAGTAAGTATGCATCTTGTTAATTCGAATATCTAAGATAATATAAAAAATATTTAAGATACTTGGAAATAAACTAAGTAATTTTATTGATGTATTTTCAGATATCTCTGTTTACAAAATAAAACAACTGCTCAGGAAGTTTTCAATTCTTATACATCGCAACATCCAAAAATAAACAGTGGTCCACCATATCTTCTTCCTTTATTGAATTTTTTATTTTTTTTATTGAAAATAGTTGACAGGTGAGTATAAATTTTAACTTGTTCATTCAATAGATAAAAATTTAATTTACAGCGATATATATATATATATGTATATATATATCTTGCACTTCATATTTTTCAGTGGTAAATTCGCTGTGTTCACAGTACTTTGTGAACAATATCGAATATCTTTAAATAGAGATCCGTGTTATCGACAGTACTTAGACAAAATAGGGCAATTATTTTTTAATGTTCCATCCCCACGTCCTCGTAATCAGGGATTATTTGGTACACTTTTACAATCTTTTTTTAATGGTCTTGAAGATGAAGGTTCAGATGATGAACAGAGAAACACAGCTTCAACTTCACAAACAGCACAAGAGCTTGACTGATTAAAAGTTACACGTCACTGTGCAATGTGATGAAAGTAAAAATAAATTTTATATCTGTATATATATATACATATATATGCATGTATGTATATATACATATATATATGACAGTGTCCCATATATTTTCAATACACATATTGTGTTGATCTGTTAGATCTTCAAATACTACATTGAAATTAATTTTCTCAAATAACCTGTACAGATAAACTTATTTAAAATAAAAATATGTGGGATGCATTTCTAGAGGAATTTTTCAAAGTTATAAGTTAAGAACAGTTTCTGAAATTCATTCATTCATCAAAATACAAATTTAGAAAAAAAAAATATTTATGAAAAATGAGGACTTCACATACATGTCTTTCTTTCTATTGCCAAGGTCTTTTTTGATACTATATTTGAACTATTATTTGATATATTGAAACTTAATTGAAACTTTCAAATTATACATATAAAATCCTATAAATATTACTGAAGCTTAAAAGCAAACTTGAACTTTGAATAAAATCCTTGTACTAATAATCTATATATGACAATGTATGTTAAAAAAAACATGTATTTGAGTGTAATTGCTGAAATGAAGATTTATTTTATATAAACTTAATCGTGTGACAAATAAACGTGACATATACACACCTGTAGTTACAGAGAAGGAGTGCTTAATGGTATTACTTGTTGCTGAAATACTAAATGAATGAAATTATTCATACGTAAGTAACTGTCATAGCAGCAAGTAAAATTATTTATTTATCAAACTCTATACTAATATGATTTATATTGTTTAAAAATTTTAGCGAAAAATAGAATATATATTTAATTATGAAAATAAGGTGGCCATGATTCTGTAAGAAAGCACTTTTCAATACTAATAAGAAGAATGTACAATTGCTGTGTATTGAACGGAAAATTTTAGGGAAAAAAGTATGATGAAAAATATAGATTTATAAAACATATGTGTATTCTTGTAGTACATATATGTATTATTATCGCAAATTATTTTTCCTTAACACAGCAAATATTGTGCAAATATGCAATGTTTAAGTTTGTTACAACATGGTTCCACTTTAAACAAAAGTAAATTATATTTTGTTGATAAAATAGATTTTTCATATAGTACATTAACAAAAATGATAACGCATTTGTTTTCTATATAAATACGCATGTGTGCGCGCGTTGATATAATTTTACATATATTATTTAAGAAATTATTAAAATTTATATCATACAAATATTATATATAGACACATTATCTAAAAAAATTTATCACAAAACAATAAATAAATTGAAATAAAAAATACTGAAATGCCACGTACATAGATATTATACATAATAGAAAACAAAAATAATGTGCAACTAGAAATTTTGTTTTTTAAAATTGTAACTTAAAACTTCTTTCAGGTTCATTTAAAAATATGATTATATTATACTGAATATAAACAGAAGCATAATTATCGAGATATTTTAATTTTAAGAAACATAATTATCAAGTATATAATTGAAACAAAACAAAAAATATAAAAAATTAATTTTAATGAGCTAACTAAATTCATTTCTATTGAGCAATAATTGAATATATGAAATAAATTAGTTATAACATTACAATTAAAAAAAAATAATACTAATAATACTGATTGATAGTAATGCAAATAATTTATATAATTCCAATAAAATATTAATTATCAATGCGTGAATAAACCTTGATTGTTAAATAGAAATACACAGTTTTAAACAAAAAAGCATGAAAATATCACTATAGTTGAAAAAATAAAAAACTCATTTTTATTATTAATTTTTATTTAAAATTGGTAAGCAACGAATATAATAATGATGCAAATATTTCAATGTTGATAATTGATACAGCAAGAGAATTAGAATTTTAAACAAAAATTATACGAATAAATTATAAATGATAAATCTTTTTTATGTAACACTATAAGGAAAAGAGTTTAAATATTTGTGTTTGTATAAACGTAAAAATATATTTTCAAATTTTTTAATTTGTCTGAGTAGTAATTTATACGACTAAACTTCATTTTACAAGTGAATTTATGTCTATATTTAGTTGCAATAATAAATGTACAAAGTTTTTAAAAATTGATGAAAATAACGTGAAATATATTGTATGTATAAGTAAAACAATAATTGTGTAATTCACATAATCTAATATTTTTTAAATGTATAATTAAAAATTTTCGTATATTTAATTTCTTAATGTATCCATTTTTTAAATAATTTTTATCTGTAAAAATATTATACATGTATATAAATACATATTTCACACAAAATTCATATATGTTTATGTTTATGTTCCTTACAAATTATTACAAAACATAGTTTCTCTGAACATCTTTTTTTCTTTTCTTACAAAATTTATAGAAAATAAATGCAATACAGAAAATTATATCATGACGAATCAATATTATTAATATTCTTCAAAACCAGGAATAGGAAATTGCCTAGAAAATGTTTCAACTTCTTCTCTTAAAACTGTAACTTTTGCTTTTATATTGACATCAGTACTTAATATTCTTTTATAGTCAACGAGCTTGGGACCAGAAATGTTAGACACTTCCTTACCAAGTAATAGACCTAAAAAAAATTAGAAACAAAAAATTTTTTGTATATTTGTAATATTAGTTTTCAATTTTCTTCTAATATATTATTTTAAAATACCTCTATGTATAAAATCGACAACTTTATCAATATCTTCTTCAACTAAACCACGAGTGGTTAATGCAGGTGTACCAAGTCTGATACCACTGCAATTCAATGCACTTTTATCACCAGGCACTGTATTTTTATTGCAAGCTATGGAAATACTCTCCAAAATCTTCTCTGCTTTAGCTCCTGTAATGCCTTTATTTCGTAAATCTACAAGTAACATATGAACATCAGTTCCATCTGTACTGATTTTATAACCATGCTCCTGAAGTTTTGAACATAGTCTCTTTGCATTAGCTACAATTTGTTTCTGATATTTAAGAAATTCTGGTGATTTAACTTGTTTCATTGCTGTAGCTATGCCTGCGATTGCATGATTGTGAGGTCCACCTTGTAGTCCCGGAAATACAGCTTGATTAATTTTATCTTCTATATCGTACATAATTTTTTGACTATCTTTTCCAATTTTTCTAACTCCTTTCCGAAAGAAGATAATACCAGCACGAGGCCCTCTAAAAATAATAAACAAAGGAATATTATTTGATAAGAAAATGAGAAGCTATTTAATAATAATTACCTTAAAGTTTTATGAGTTGTAGTAGACACAACATCGCTATATTCGAATGGGCTAGGAATTAATTTAGCTGCAACTAATCCTGATACATGAGCCATATCACTAAACAGGTAAGCATTATTTTGATCCGCTATTTGCCTGAATTTCTTGTAGTCTAAACATCTACTATAACAAGATACACCTGCTATTATAATTTTAGGTTTAAATAAACTTGCTTCCTCAGCTAATTTATCATAATCAATTAAACCAGTATCAAGATTAACTTTGTATGGCATTGATTCAAAAAATATTGATGTCGCAGAAACTTTTTTAGTTGGAGTAAAAAACCCTAAAAAAATTTTCGATAGAAGACTTTAATATTTTTGGCTTATAATATTTTAATAAAATTAGATTAAATTTTTACATAATACCATGTGTAAGATGTCCTCCATCAGGAAGGTCCAAACCCATTATACGACCATGAGGCTCAATTAAACCTGTATAGACAGCAAAATTAGCTGGACTTCCTGAATATGGTTGTACGTTGCAGCCCCATTCTTCGGGATTTAGATCAAATGCTTCTAAAGCACGTTTTTGTGCTAACAGTTCAATTTCATCAATGTATTCATTCCCTCCATAATATCTGAATATGTAAAAATGCTTTTGATAATTGCTAAACATATAAATAACTTAAAAAATAATGATAATTGTAAATTATAAGAAACATACCTTTGACCTGGAAGGCCTTCACTATATTTATTATGAAGACAAGAACCCAAGCATTGAAGAACGCTAAGAGATGTAAAATTTTCACTAGCAATCATTTCAAGACCAGATTCTTGCCTCTTTTTCTCCTTTTTCATTAACTCAAAGAGTTCCGGGTCTATCTCCCAGACATTTTTATAAATTATTTCAGGCATGTGCTATGTAAGTAAAAATAATTTAAGTATTTTTAACTTTACTTCATATAATACAAATAATTCGTTAAAATAACGCCATATTATTTTCTAAATATGTACTTGTTTATTTCTTAAGTCTGCAGGGGACATTGCAAAACGTCTATTCATTATTCTGTTTATTATTCTGATAAAGTTCAAAGAGTTATTACTGATAACCTCAAGCATGGTATAATGACACAATAAGACTATTTATCAAGAGGTATATATGTTTGAATTATAAAAAACTCCAGTTATTACTCCTCATTGCTTATTTACTTATATTTATTATTTCTGTTCCTTATGAATATATTTTAATTAATTTCCCTTTTAAATTTAATTAAATAAATGTAAAACAGATTCTTAGAAGCACTAGAATAAATACAAAAATTGTTCAAAAAAATTAAAATATAAACATTGTAATTACAATAGCATTGTAATTACATTAATGATATAAATACATCAAAAATTTAAATATAAATACATTATACATTAAGAATTAAAATAAATATATAATTTACTTAATTATTATGTAAATCAACTAATAGTAAAACTGAATATAATATACGATATAGAGACTGCGTAAAACATTATTACTTATACAAAAAAGAAACACTGTTGCTATTAATTATGCAAAAGAAACTTAATTGTAATGGATAATTACTCACGAGCTTCGATGTGCAACAAGTGGTTGAAAAATACATGTTAAAATTTGAATCTTGGAAGACTTCTGCTACATATCTTCGAGTCGCACGATCTTTTATATACTGCATGCGACTGATTAGGTTTTCAACCAATCGAAAACCAGAACGATTTAAATTCAGCCAATTCGTAATCATAACAAATTGTTTCTTAAATCAAATACGAAACGACGATACATGAAATATACAAGATAAGTCGAAATTTTTCAAATCTCTTGCATATTTATTGTAACCAACGCGTCCAGCAAAAAATTTCATCTAGTTGTAATTTCCAACCTAAAACTTTTCAAGGAAAAGAATTTTAAATCAACGGCGGTATCATTGATATGCATTATACACACGCGCGTAATTTTCAAGTGTATTCATTTTGTTCGATTATGGAAACCAATTTAAACAATTTGTAATACTCAAAATATTTGAAGACTGTTAGTTTATGTAACAATATAAAGTTATTCCTTGATCAATTACGTTAGTTTCGAGCAACAAATATAATTTCATTACACGATCTTACAAGACTTACTCAAAAAAAAAAAAAAAAAAATGATTCTTGTTTACTACCGATTCAAAAAAAAAACTGAATCATACGCAATACTTATCGTATTCGTACATTATTAATACCACAAACACAATGAAACATATTTGAACTCGTTTAGACATAAAATAGCAATCAAGTGAATCACTATGATTCTTTCTATAAAAAAATGAGTTTCTCATCTTCTATAATTACAATCATTTCTCTCGTAATCTCCAAAGCAAAACAAATTGTAAAATTTGATATATTATTATTTTTATATTTTGTATAAAATTAAATATATTCTTACCGAATTCAACTATAATAACTCAGTAATCTCAAGATTCGAAACGATGATATTATATTTGCATCAACACGTGTCGTACAGAGATGAGAAGTTTCCCGAAAAGAATGTGGGTCCGGTTATTTCCAATCCATTCTTAAATTTAAGAATACTTATTGGTTGAGGATGTCACGCAAAACAAAAAACCTAGTGGGTCGGTTACTGAGAGAAGGAACTGCTTCCTTTGCTCTTGCATGGGATTTTTCATTTTTGTACATAGATGCAGCTATATATAACTCAAAATATACAATTTGCAATTCGTCAGTACATGGTATTAAAGGTGAAATTTCTGTAGCGAATGAGTTTATGTATAATGTGAGGTAAAGGATATAGAAGGTGGAGTGTATTTCGTCTCAGATTCACCGCCAGATTCATCAATAGAGTTGATGACCCCTAATCTCAGATGCTCGATTTATTAGGAATCTCTAGCTTGGGTCAAGAAACGGCATCCATCCTAGAGGTGTTCCACACGCTGCAAGCTTAACCTAAAAATCACACTTGATCCGTAGCTAAGCGGAATCCACTTGCAATTTTCAAAACAAAATTTTCTACTTTTAGTACCACCGAGCTATCAATGGATGGCGCCACCATTGCATCTAAACATTGACAAGTGACAGTAACGCCATCTATTGATAACTTGGTAGTACTAAAAACAGAATTTTCTACTTTTAGTACCATCGAGTTACCAATAGATGGCGCCACTATTGCTTTTAAACATTGACAGGTGACAGTTTTTCCACAAATTACGAGAAGAAATTAATTAGGAGAAATCATTTGTGAACTGTTATGGTTGCGTCTTCGATTTTAGAGACCCTAAGCTTGCGTTTTATGTTTTGTTTAAGTGTAGTTTACATATATAAGGAATGTTTCAATTTCGTTTACGTTAGTAGTAGTGCCAGTAGTGAGTGCATAATTTCTCGCAAACTATAGTGAATATTAGATTCAGATTTATTTGCGAACGTAATTGATAGCATTATCTTTGAAATATATGCTCGTGGAGTGCAAATTTGTGGCGTGAAAAGTTAAAATTAATTATTCCCTTTATATGGTTATAGAGCGTTTAGTTCCACCGGTCTGCCACAACGCCGCTAGTGTTTCTTACCCCGTAAAACAGAAAAATTTTCATTTGCGAAAAAACCTAAGTTAACGAAATAAATTGTGAACTTTGGCGATTATATTGCCCTAATTAGACCCTTTCTTTTCATACCCCATTTGACCTGTAAAATGCAGAAATAAGTATTTTTATAAATATTTAGTACCACTGAACTACCGCTAGATGGCGCCACAATGTTCATTTTGTAATAGTTCGCATTAATTACGAAAAAAAAATAATTAAGAGGAATAATTTGCGAACTTTTTTATATGCCTCCTTAAAATTAGATTCGCCGCTTTCTTTCTATATGTGTTTTGTCCTAGAAAAACATGTATGTAAAAAGTTGAATTTTTTTTTCAATAGATTGAAGGATGTCCTTGTCGCACATTGTTGCTTTCTTTGTCTAGCGTCTTTAGACAAGGAGAGCACTAACATGCGACAAGGATAGACACAGGCGCAATAGACAAAGGGAGTGGTAACGTGGGACAAGGACAGACATATTCGCGCGGTAAACAAGGAGGGCTATAGCTTGGAATAAGGACAGACATATCTGTGCGGTAGACAAGGAGAGTGTGCGACAAGGACAACAATATAAATTAGTTCCGGCACCTATCCTAGGGGTAATTTACACGGTGCATGCTTAAAAAATATGTTATAAGTTTAATACAATTAAAAGCGAATTTCTTTTGTATAAAATATTTAGAACGTTGAAATTTTTTGGAGCAATAAAAATTTATGGAAGTTACCATATTGAACTATTTAGCAGCTGGTTTGAATTAATAAAAAAATTCTAAATCGAGACCTTACTTAAAAAGGATGTAGATACTTCTTGTACTATGTCACTTTGATTGAAATATCCCTGACGATTTAATTTTATAATTTCACTTTGTAACAACTCCACTGTATAATTATCTAATTGGAAATGTTTCACTACATCACAATATAAAATCAGTATATCTTTAAATCGCTGTATAATTTAAATGAGAATTAATAATAACAGATTCTGCAATATTAGTGTGCGTAATAATATTACTTTGAAAGTAGTTCACTATCGACGTACTTTCTTCGAGTACATGCAAGTCTAGAGCGTACATATCGCATTTCTTACCGGCCAGTCCACTCTACTCTTATCAAGACCTTTTGAACTTTTTTTCTTTATCGTATTACAAAAATTTTAAATATTTTCGCCTATATTTGACTGATTCTCAACAAAAATTAACGTTGCAATAATTACAAAATGTCTAAAACACGAAGATTTCTGATGAATGATCGCACAATTGAAAGGACAAAAATTTAAGAATTTAACAATTTATTAAAGATTATAATACACTTGTATATATACTTTATAATAATTACTTGTTAATTATAGGTTCGTTTTTTACAACACAGTTAATTTCTTATTATGATATACAGATTATTATCAATCCTATACTCACACATAATACATCTTTGCTTTTTTTTTATTATCTTCAAATTTATGATTATTCAGCATCTCAGAAGACATCTGATAATTTAAAAAAATTAAATTTCATTGTATGTAAAAATCATATCTTTATTTCATATTTAATAATTATGCTTTGATTTGATAATGTTTTTTTCTCATTCCACTAAAGTAAAACAATATACCATTAATTAATAAATGAAATTTAGAGATGAATAAAATGTTTTTTCTTCTCTCTCTTTTTATTTTACTATTAGAACGATTAATAATAAAAATAATAATACAGGAAATATAAGAAATTTAATACAATTATATAAAACTTTTTATATAATTTTATATAATTACATATATATAATTTTTTAAATAAATTTTTAAGATTGTATATTTTATTTTATATTTAAAAAAATTTGTATTTGAACTTCTTTATATGTATTATTTACATACAAAAACAGTATTAAATCATGAAATCATGATGAATATCTGCAAATCTTAACACTATTTTTTCCTTCAAACATATAATTAAATGGTTGCCCTGTTAATAATGTGTCTTGGCATAATATCTAACAATCTGCAATAAAACGTAATGATATAGGACAGGGAAAAACGGAATATGAGGAAATAACTTATCAGATTTGTTTGTAAACAATGAGAAATTCCTAAAAGATTACAAATATGTAATAGTATAACATTTTGATAATGATGTTTAATCTTATTATTTCATTATATACTAACATAATGTTACAGTATATATTATTATGCTTAAAAAAAAAGCTATGTCCAACTTTAAATAGTAAATTTGCTAAATATCAATATGCAATATTAAAAAAACTGTAAATGTGGATTATATTTATCATTTTTAAAATGAAAATAATCATTTAATCAAATAATCATTCAACGTTAAGTAAAAAGTCTAACTATTTTTTTATAAAAATAAAAAAGATATTCAAACGAATAATTGACGAAAAGTTTTACTTCATAAATCTTTTTGAAATGATTGTTTTAGAATATTATTTAAATATTTATTTACTAGTGTTTAAGAAAATATTTAGCGCTTTGCTTACTAACCTATTCGTAAATCTAATACCACTTTAAGACAAAAATTATGTACAATATTTATATGTAAACTCTTTTTTTGTAATGTATGCAAATATTTTCTGTTTAGTATCATCATACAATTTTACATAAGTTAATTTCTTAGTAACGCTAATAAGTTCTAATACTAAATTCAAAATAAAGTAACTTTAAAATAAATATATTAAAAGAACGTATTAAGAAAAAAATACTGAAATATACGACATTGAAATCATGCCAAATAAGATGATTAATTAAAATCATAAAATGTTTATTTCGTTTTATTTATTATTTTGTTTATGCATTTTGTTTCGTTTATTATATATTTTGCTTTTCACTTGCTTAGAAAAAAATTATTGAAAAATTATCGATGAGCTTTACAATTGCAATTGAGCAGCTGCTACAATATTAGCTGTACAAAACAGAAATGCATTACAATTGATTACAAGCATTATATTATGTATCAGAAGTGCTCCTTTTCGCGAATTGTTTATTACATATAAGTCTGGTATTTTTGTTGTTTTTTTTGTTTTTTATTATAATACAATAATCTAAATAATTCTCCTTTCTAATCATACGATGTAGTGCAAAAAATACATGGACACTATTAACATTGTCAGAAGTAGTGTTCGTTACTACTTTCGACTTCAAAATCATTATTATTGTTAGTATTCATTGAGAAACATAACAATAAAATATATATGTATACAACTAATATACATATGTAATTGATATCTATATATATATATGTATCTGAATAATGAAACATGTAATTCATATTTTCATAGCTTTCAGATGAATACATATGCTATTTATGACTTCTTTTGATCAAAATTCTTATTTCACTTTTAAAAAATCATAAATATTAGATTTATAAAAAATTAGTGATTAAGTTTTTGTATATAATTTAATTATAAAAAACGAAATAATAAATTTTCCTGATATTTCGTAAGAAGTAGTATTTCCTTGGTGTCATCTTTACACAATTCAATTTTATGTATTAAAAAAAAAACAAAGAAAAACGAAAGAAGAAAAAGAATGCTTATTTCTAATCATATAATAAGCTGTATTATTTAAGAATTTCTTAATCTATATTTTTTAGCAGAACATATATTAAAATTATTTGATTAATCAAGAACAAAGATAAGCAATTATAAATTGAATGTTCACAACGAAATATTTGAAAGCATATACATGGTTAAAATTACGGCTGTAATTAGTCAAACTAGCTGTACACGTGTAGGTTTACAAAATATTGCAATCTTCATAGCTAGCATGTCCAGTCTTCATAAATATTACTGCACATCACATAAATTTCTTATATATTACCGAGTCATAATTATTTGTCGATGTTGAAATGCACTCTAGAAAACGTGACATGAATAATACATTACTCATTGTAAGATCTACATTTGACGTATTTTTTTAAATTATATATTTAATCAATATAAATTATCATTCCAATTGAGTTGCAGCAATTTATTATCCTAATAGACTAACAGCTAATTAGCTTGAATTAAAATCGTTAATTTGACTTATGTCAGAGTTTTTATTTTAAATTTTAAAACTCTGTTTTTTTCCTTTGTATTTTAATAATTGCAACAAACTAGTCCCTTAGAAAAAAATTTATTTATTAAATAAATCGAATAAATTGCTCCATCTTCCTTCAACATTTAATAATATTCTTAGATATTATGGAGCCATGGATTTAAACGTTTCGAAGAAAGACTTTAATCACAGTTAAGACAAGAGAAAATGTTGAATAAAAGATGATTCATAAATTCATAAATAATAGGAAATCATGTAATATCGTGGCAAGTTATCGTGCAAAGAGTGTATGCAGAGAATAAAAAATAAAAGAACAAAACTATGAAATAACATTTAATAAGACGAAAAAAAAAGCTTAATGAAGTTGTTAAATGGCCATTTCTTTTAAACAACAGTTTTTATCTTCCAACAGATTCCATATAATTCTGTTCATAGCGTAATGAATTCAACATTCGCCATATTTAACGCATTCTTTCCAATTTTTTTTTTTTTTGTTATTATAATTTAAACTGCTTCATTAATATGTTAAACTACTGTTACATATTTGCAAAATTTCATAGAATCTCAGTAAAATATATAGAAAAAGACGCATAAAACACACACAAAAAAGAATATATTCAAACATAAAAAGTTCCAGGGTGTTTGGAAGGCGAATTAGAAATTTTACTTAAAAATTATCTTGCAAATATTTTATAATCATTTTTGTTATGCAAAATAACAATAATATAAAGTATCCATGCTATTTAATTACATTTTTCTTCAATTAAAGTATAGTAACTACATTTTCGAGTATAAAGATGCATGTCATAAGAAGTGAATCTATAAATAGAATATTAATGTCTTATTATTTTGCAAAGGAATATGGAGAAACTAAGATTACAAAGGGTGATTGTAAGTCTGCGTTTCAAACATCCTGAATATAATACAAAAACAGGAATATGTAGACAATTCTTTTCTGATAATGGGCGTTAAGTATTACACATCACATAGAACAGTACATAGTGTTTCTTTGGGCCTTGTTATATTCAATTACAAAGATTTTACATGGCAAGATCAAACAATCAAGATTTTAAGAAAAATTATAATTTGCTAAAAGTAAATAACTTCTTATTTACTGAACTTTACGAGAACTTTCTCGGTTTTGCAATTGCAATCCTTATTTCTTTACTTGGTAATAAAATATGCATTTAAATAAATTGCTCTTGACAGACTCAAAAGCAATGAAAATATTGCTTTCAAAAATATTTGTTAAATAACAGTCATCGAGCGACAAAATATTTACAAATTTCATAGATAGAAGTATTTAATCAAGGAGTATTTAATTAAGAAGTTGTTGCAATATAGTGAAAAGAATCACTAATACATACCATCGATCCAGCCATTACGTAAAATCCCTGTCGATTCGAAAGAGAAAACTTCCATAATGCATAAAATATCATTGCATGTTCGTTACAGTCTCTTAATCCTTCGTATACAAAGCGTAGATTTATCTTTCGTTAACATGATCATAATATTAAAACCGCGCACTATCTGGTTGAAGAACCGAATACATAAACGCATTTCCAACCATCGTATATCGCTTTTTTTTTACTATAGAGTCGTATAAATTATATGAGTGGCTGCCTAATTTTATTCTTCTTCGTGTGATGAAAATTTAATTGTAAATTTTAATGGCCTTTTCGAGGTAGTTGATACGAGAGCGCTTTGGCGCTTTGTTGACGTGTTCTAGGCCAAGCCAAGGCCTAAGTGGCGATGTGCCTGCGTTTAAAAGTGGATAAACTACAAAATTTATTTTTCATCGCTGTCAATTTAATTCTTAATATTATTAATTCTAATATTTTGTACCACAATTTTGACGTTTATATTTATATGTATATGTATACGTATGTAACTGTATTTATATTTTTTTATTTCAATTATATTTTTTTTATTCGAACACTTACTTTGATTTGGGTGAATGCGGAAATCCGCAAGATCCATGCAGTATTCTGGCGAGTCCATAATGAAGTGTGGTTTACCCATCGTCACCACCGCGAACTTAAACTTCAAAGTTTTTTTATGAATTCTCATAAAATATCAAATAAAATTAGATTAGGATGCCTACCTTTTCAAATTCTTTTTCTTGTACCCCTAATTTCTTTAATAGTCTTTCCTTCATCTTTGGGAAAGGCTCACCCTATAAATATATAAATAATAAAAATATATGTGACTAAATTAAAATATTTGCTTTAAAAAAAAAAACATCTTCATATTTGCCGTACTTACATGTTTAATTTTAAAGAAAAAGGGAATACCAAATGTTGAAAAAATATCTTTGTGGAAATGTGCAACAGGAACCAACATTTCATCTTCTGCTAAATTTAACTCATCATTTGGGATTTCTTCTATCCTGTATAATTTTGTGCCAGATGTATTTAAGTTATCTAAAGGTACATCTTCTCTCGGACCAGGTGAAAGTTTACTAGAATTAATTTCTAATATCCTTAATTTTCCAGATCCGTTTTCTGATAATTCTACTTGTTTTTTAGCTTCTTCTAGCAATGTTGCTACTGTTCCATTTTTATTAGGATAAAGAATGATTTCCTTCTCTTCTTTAAGAGATGGACCAACCCATATACATTTGAACTGTTTTTTGTTTTCAAGTTCATTTACTCTAATACTAAGTTGCTGATAATACAATTTTTTTGCTTTAGGTTTACAATAAGAAACTAAATCCTTCAATGAACCTTCAAATGTGCATTTTAATGGATGTCCAGGTGAATCTTTATAACTGCAAATATAATAAATAGCATTATGTATATAACATAATATAATAGATATATATGAAATTGCATAAAATTATACATTCTTACGTTTGACATTTAAAGAATTGCAGAAGATAAGGATCTGTACCAAGTCTCTGTGCCACAGCTCTTGCCATTTGGTCATATGTCATTCTTAATGAAAGTTCCATAGTAAAACCAGTATCATTAGGAATTGTTTTATCACAAAATGTAACCTCTACTCTATGAAATAGATCTCTGAAATATAATAAAAATTTTCATATAAAGTTTTTTTGTATAAGTATCAAATTTTAGTTTTTTGTAGAAATATTAACTTACTTGAAGTATTCTCTACATGTTGGAAGCTCATACATTTGATTGTCGCCTTCTTTTTGAAAAACAATTATATCTCCATCCATTAATTCCTCAAGAACTTTCTCCAATGGCTCTGTTAAATTGTCTATCTTTTCTACTAAGTTTGGCTTGATTTCTTCATAGAGAGCCAATTCTGTATCAGGTGGAAAACCAGCTCTTTCATTTAAGATTGGTATAAGTTCCTCTGCACAAAAACGTGATATTTCCATTGTTGCAAAGATAAAAAATTTGAATTAAAAACTATGTATTTTTAAATTTTAGTATCAAATTAAAGCGTTTCCAAAGGATCTACATGTGATGCTATAATGGAATAATTATAAACTATATAAATTTTCTCTCTTGAATCTTTGACATAACATTATACTAAAAAATTAAGTAAAAAAAATTATTTGAAATAAAACTTACGGACTTTAGCTGTGACAGGCATATAGTGATGTCCACAATAATGAATCTTCTTATTCTTGGGATCATACAGTTTAAAAAATAATAAAACATCAGTGTCTTTATCGAAAGGTGGTAATGCTGTCAAGTCAGAATCTGGAGGAACAAGTTCAACAAACACATTCCAAACATTTGGGTTCTCCGCGCATTGGTAAATTGATTTTTGAAGATCATTTTCTAATTCAATTGGCATTGGTCTACAAGTCTGGTTTGAACGTACATTCAACGGCCATAAACGAATTTGTTCTATTGGATATTTCTGCAGAAGAAAAATCCCATAAAATTAGTTATTTATAACAATTAGTTATTTATAACAATTTTTTAATTTGATAGAATAGTTATTTCACTCTTAAATACAGTTTCTTTAATCACCTACCGTATTCGTAAATGATCACAATATAATATGTAACGAATTAGCAGCACATATTATGAAATCACACTTTAAATATTTCAATATGAAATAATTTAAAATATCGATAAAATAAAATATCGATACTAGCATATTTTAATGATGAGAGTAATAGCATGAAAAATTTGTCAACACTTACCAAGCTATCACTCAGCAATTCGAGAAACTCGTGCAAGGTACACTGCTTACGTACGCGAAATACACGATACAAAGCATGCTCTGGATCATACAAGTCATTCCCTTGGTGACCGTCAAAATTATCCTCAAGAAGGACGTTGACGGTTATATACAAGTATGCTTCTGTTCTTTCCTTTCTTCGTATTTGTTCCAGCCTCTTCTCCTCTTGCAGCCTCTCCACCAGCTAGACCAACAAAATTAAAATTATCCATATATGTACTAAATTCATCTCATTGGTAATTTTTCTTCATCTGTCTTCTAAAATTTAAACTTTTAGAAAAGCAGTGTACTTGTATCATGCTTTTGAGATTCGAGAACAGATAGTATTCGAAACATCAAAAGAATGAATTTTGTTTTGTCCTTTATATAATTTTAATTTTGTTCATCTGCCGCAATACAAACTACTAAGTCAAACAATTACACAATGAAAATTATTCAGCTGTGAATGATGGTTTTATGTAACACAATTCAAATTAATGTAGACAATTAAAAAATATCTAAAATATTAGTAAATTTTTACACAGGAATGATGCTTTAAATGGATGTTTTAACAGCTGATTAAACTAATTAAATGTCCATTTCTGTTCTGACTATTGAATTTTGGTTGGTTGAAATATAAAACACAATTTTATATTATATATTTCTTTGAAACTAAGAATTATATAATATTAATAACCACTATTTGCAGGTCTCAGATCATCATACCTGTGTGCTATAAATACATATCAAAACACATGACCATCATTAATGCCAAATAATAATAAAAATGTAATGTATAACTATAGTAGCGTGGAGATGCTTCACATTTTGAATTATTGTTATACAGATTTTTCAAGTAATTACACAGCTACACTTTTAAGAAATAAAAAATAAAAACGACAATAAATTAACTAATATAATTTTTAGTGTTCAAAATTCTCTAATATTTAGTAATTTATTCTATATCTTCTCATTTCTTTTATGTCTAAGATAAAGAATAATATAGGTATTTTATAATTATTATGAAATATTCACTTTGTTCATGAGGCATTGAATTTTTTCTATTTATTAATATGTAACAACAAATAAATAGATAGCATCTGTTGATGGTCATACTGACTATGAACATTGACAAAATTTAATGAATTAACGACTCGATTAATTGATTCAAACCTCATTATAAGGTTCAATACCCTAATTTTATTATTAGCGTTATTCAAAGTGTTAATTCATGAAAATCATAGATTTGATAATATAAATCACATTTCACCTCACTCACTAAACGATTTTCATTAAATAACAAATACACCGTAGAAGACGTATTAAGGAAGAAGCAGACATTAATAAATCCTACTTATTGTTCATTTTCTCTTTTTTCCACAGCATTATCTATTTCATGAGTCAAAACTCATTATTTTAAATCAGATTTTGAATAATTTCATTCTAATTATTCAATTAATCTCACTCTATTAACTAATAAGTCTTTCTTGCCTGTATTTCTGTTATAATTATTCACACATTTTCAACCTATTCTGCGATATGTCTGTGCATTTGTTACCCAAAGCTTTAGAATACTACAATACAATTATTCTTTTAGGTGTAATATCATACAATATTTATTACAATAAACATTTCAAAACGATTCTAAGGCTCATCATGATAATAGCCTAATAATCAGATTTTATGCCAACCCGATTTCAATTTTTGTATAGTACCTGAAGTGTAACGCGTACATTAATTATAGCTGTTTAACCTTCAGTCAACTAATATACAATTAATATAAAATTTTTAAGTAACGAAAAAATAAATTAAAAGAATCAACAAAGATTTCACCTTTACATGACTCAATCGTCCATACAAAAAAATCCTCTGTCAAAAAGGTAAAAGTACTTTCATTTGAATAAAACAAATCTCTATATAACAATAATTAGTAACAATCTACTGATATTTTTGATAATTGTAATGCAATATTTTATATTGATCAACTGTCATATTCAAACGAAACATCTTATCAATTTGATACAATGTAATGAAATACTTTTTTTTCTTTCATTTTTTAAATATATAATAAATATCAGCAAAGTAATGGGCGCGTAACACTTTAAGTCACATAAGTGTGACATATTACATGCAACATGTCGTACCTGAAAATGGACACAATGTATACAATATCAACATTTGGTGATATAACAGCCTGTAGCTGATAACGCTATAAATTTCTGGTTATTAAAAAATATTAAGAGAAATTTTATAACAAATATTTGAAAATATATATATGTATGTATAGGTGCTAAAAAAAATATTAATTTATTAAATTTAATTTGTAGATATTATTTTCTGATTAATTTACATATCCAAAATATTGAATCTATTCAAATACGTTCCTATGTTATTAAACTCATTTCATCTTTGTATTAACTTGATGCAATGCTTTATGAATTTGATGATTTTATATGCTATGAGCTAATTAGCTCAAATTTAAGAAATAGGAAATTTTTTTTGGAAAAGAATTTAACCAATTTACAACTCTTTCCACTTTTTTAAAAATCATGAATATAGAGATTTGGATTTCGAGAATTTTGCGTGCACGGACGAAGAGTCGTAGTCTCTGTATGTGAGTCTTTGATTGAGTCAGTCGCGTCTTTGTCACGTTCAAGGTCGCTCAACTCCTGGGAAAGCTCTCTTTGTAGGACGTTTCTGACCTCTTGAGGTATATCCTCTTCCTTGACTTCTTGTAAGACGTTTTCCAACTCAGAGTCCCTTATGTACACCAACATATAGGCGTTCGTGCAATGTTTCACAGCTATAGACATATCCTCGTCTTGACCACCATAATTGTGTTCAATAGCTTCTTGTTTTGTACACCTTGAGACGACATCATCATCGAATTTGCACCACTGTTTCAAGATTGAGTATATGTAATCAAGTATAAATAATATTTACTTAAAATTATATAAGTAAAGAACGAAATTATGTTTAGAAAAAATATATATATAATTATTCTTAATTAAATTAAAATAGTTAAACAATATATAACATTTAGAAATGTCTATTTTAATTTATACATAATTCTAAATATAATGTATATCTTCTTGTACTTGTGAAATACTGAAATAAAAAATGCACATACTTTTCCATCACCAGCTGGATTGATAAATACAACATAATGTCCACCATGATTATCGCCACTGTGAACTAAGACTGCATGCAACGTGTAATCTGCACTTGTTGCTTCTTTAGTTTGTAAATATTTGCCAAGACTTATTTTTTCATAGAATTCAAACCTTAATAAAATTAATATATATAGCCGTAAAGATCAAAAATATTATAAAAATAAATTCTATATAAGTTTATAATTTTGTTATATTACTTCTTACCTATCATTAAATTTCACAGAACAATCTGTAACCGGATCATATTGAAATCGCATTAAATGTAAATGCAACACTGGTGGGAAGGATGAAAAAACAACACCCTTTTCTGCCTCTTGTAATCCATTTTCTCCCGCATCATATTTATTATCACCATCCAGACTTTCAGTACTCACATAATCATTAAACGACTCATAAACTAAAGTTAATTTTTATATAAAATAAAATTTTATATATGAACACAAAATAAGAAATTTTTATGGTATTTAATAAGAAACATTTCTTCATATACTTACTATTTTTCTTTCCTTTTATATTTAACTGTATATCATAGAAAGTTTCAACTCTAGTTGATTTGTAATCAATATTTTTACATTTGATGAATGATACCATCTTTCCTTCAAATAATTTTGGCACTGTACCTTCTACACATGTACCTTTCATTTTACTTTCCAACTTATCTAAAAGCTAAAATAATTATGAGCAAAAATTTTTAATTTCGATAAATGATGAATAAAAGATTATAGCTTATTGTTAAGAATATTATAAATAATAGTAAATACAATAACTTCTTACCACTCGTAAAAATTCTTGCACATCATGTTGCATGAACGAATCCAATGTTTCCCAGCCAAAACTTTTTGTTAACTTTTTTGTACCTACTGGTTTATCAGAAAATTGTAATTCATGAAATACCCTTTGTAAAGCCAAAGCAACACTTTTACTAGAATCATCACTTTCTGTTGGCATTTTATAAACTGCTTTACGTAACTAGAAACAAAAAATAAATATCTAAATATTTACATTACAATTATGAAAATTTTAAGATCTAAAAGAGAGAAAATGTTAAATAATAAAAGTTTGGATTTGAAAAATACACATCTTAATAGAAATTATAATTATAATTTAATTTTTAAATTTTTAAATGTTTAAAATGAATTTATTACTCTACCTGATTCGTAAAATACAAAGTTTGAAGCAATGAATTCATATAGCATGTAGCACCTTGATTTTTTAAACCTACAAATCCTGTATGTTTTTTACTATCCCAACTGACACCATGTGGAGCATCAGCCATAACATGAACCTATTTTTAAAAAATAAATATTATAGATTACAGATCACAGATGTATGTTTACAGGATGTAATGTAAAATAAATGAATGACCTAAATCTAACTTAAAAAAATTAAATAATAGAATAAGCAAAAAATTGAAATTTCTTTAAATTTTTAATTAAAAAATAGCCTAATGTAAAATTAGTAAATGATTAAAAATTGTTACATAAAATTAAACAAAATTAAACATTGCCTTATTTTTTATTTCAAAATTCTAATATTACTAACCTCAAGTGTAATAGAATCATCTTTGATAAAACCTTTTTCAGGGTCCAGGACATCCTGCCATGTCATAAAATGACTAAATCCCCAATCATTTTCTTTACTATAGAAAAGATGTTGAATTTCTAAAAGAAAAATTCATATACTTAAGTACATGTAAAAATTATAATTTAAAAGTTATAATATAGAAAATGTAACAAATGAAATGAAATGAAATGAAATATCTTCTGTAAAAATAAAACATTGATGTATAAAAATATACTAACTTCTATTAAATGGTTCCTGTCCCTCTTTACAAGAAAGTAATCGAAGATCTGCAACTGCATAACAACTCCACGATGATTCGCTTTCTCCATTACATTGTAAGAAAAAACCAAGAGATTTTTGAGGACCTCTATCTTGTGTTTGACTTGACCTAGGCATTATCATTATTTTCCATGGTAAGTTACGAACATAACATGGTGGAGATAACTGAGTTTCCTTCATTTTGGAAAGATTTTCCACTGTATAACGAAACGTTGCCTCTGATCTTGCTTCGTCTAATTAAAAAAATATAAGTTTTATAATCAATCTATAACTTTATAAGAAAATATATATTTAGAAATAATATTATTTAAATTGTATTTTATATTATTAAGTTTGTATTATTGTAATACAAAATTAGTACTTTAATTCTTAAATCAATAAAATAAATTTAAAAAATTCTTCCTACCTTCCTCCATTTCTTGATCTTGAACTATGCAAGCTAATTCTGATTCTCCATTCATAGGACTAGTATCATTGCCATCTCCTCCACCATCATTTGGTGTTTCTAGAAGATTAAGATATCATTCTAAAATTCTTAAAAATTGCTTTCCGAAAAGATTTTCACAATTTTAGAAATAGATTACATTAATTAGATTATATTAATATACATTTTACAATGAATTATATACTATTTTATACATGTTATATAAATTTTTAACACTAGTATTTTTGTACATTTTCAACATTATGAAAGAAATGTTATATCTTTCAGCTGTTTGAATTGTAGATTACCTACAACATTGTATAAAAATAAAAAATTTACTTAATGTTTTATAATAATCTTCAAAAAAATGATTTATACAAATATCCATGTAGTAATTTATATGAATAAAATTTGATGAAAATGCTATATCAAATTTCAACCATTGTGACATAATTAAAAAACAAATGAATATTTTCATCAAAAGAAGAACTACTTATAATCATATATTTATAAATTGTTGAAAAAAGTATATGAACATTCAGTAATATAGTATTAAATGTTTAAAAGTGTATTTGCGCACATGTAAATAAATTAAATTAAATACAAAAAATATTTGAAATACATCTAAAAATATACTGAAAATCTTATTTATGTTAATATAATCTTATTTTAATATTATCTATATCATACTCTATATGTGTATATATATATATATATATATATATATATATATATATATATATATATATATATATATATATATTATAAATATATATTGCATACATATCCTTTTATGTATATTTCCTCTAATAAAAATTTTAATAAAACGTCACCATATAAATCATTTTGAATATATAAAGCGCATGACTATGCAACAAACCGTGCGTATAATATAGTAAAAACTATTAGAAACGTTAAATTATCAAATTACCAAAACCACATAAATACATTTTTTTGTTATCTCTAAATCAAATATAGTTTTCGTTATTCTAAGCTTTGTTTAAGACCATTTTTAACAAAAAACACGTACATGCATTGAAAAAAAAATTCACCGTAAAGTGTTCATATGTTCATATATACGAAGTTCGAAATATTTTCTATAACCTTCAAAACGAAAATCAACATGTACGAGACCAATCAGAAGCTACAAACATTTTTACAAAGCGAAACAGATGGACGTAAATCGTACCTCCCTCTTGTGTATCCATTTCCTCGACTTCATTAACCTGAACCGGTGCCAGGTTGAGCTGTTTAAGATTTTCCTGATCGTTAACGTGGTTCATCGCAATGCCGATATTGATGGTCGTCTTGATTGCGCCGGGAACCTCGGAGGCGGCTTCCGCCGTCGAGGTTACTTCTGAAGTTAATTGAACTGGTGTAACTGCGAATAGGTTTCGAGCAAAAATTGACTGATGCCGTTCGATGAACTGATTATTCTCGTCAGGGACGAATGATCTCTGCTCGAGCAAATTTTGCTGATGTAGTTGCTCGATTCCAATCGCAACCGAACTCGCGTCACTACTACGACTCGAGAACGACGTCCTTTTACCACACGACGATGATTGATATTTACTTGCGATGAGCCCAATTTCTGCGGCTATCAAGTGCCCCCGCTTTTTCGGGGGACGCCCACAACATATATTCCACCCTTGCGCGATATCTTCTTCGTTATTTCTACGTTGTCCCTGCTCTTGTCGCCACGACTATTTCTTTTCTTGTATCCGTAACACCTATCCTCCTCGCACTTTTCACTTTGTACTCCCTCACTCTTTCTCGACCGATCCGAGAAACGGTTTCCGCACCGCGGGACCGGCGCGCTACTAATCGTCAAACTTATGTACTTTTTGCGAACCACAGCTCCACTATGTTTCGACTTTAATATTTGGTCCAGTCTCTGCCAACGACCGCCCGTTCGACCGAATCTTTCCAACAGCGCTTCCAGCTTTTTAAACTGATCACCAATACACTCAGCTGATGTTTTCACGGACGAAAACAGGTCGATCTGCTTCGATGATCGTCTTTCAGACCTCTTTTACGCGAAAATAAACAAAATGGCGACGAACCACACTGTTCTACTGCCTGCCTATCTGTTCTGCATGCAATTCGTACAGGTCACGAAATTTTCGTCAATCTATAGACAACGCACTCGATGCTACTTCTTGTCCCATCAACGCGGCAAATTCAAATAGCAAATAGCTGGAATTGAAACAGTTACGCGTTGATTTGGATTTCAGTTCAACGTGTATTTTTTTTTTTCTAATATCAATGTACATTCTTATTCTTATATATTTAAATTCATCAAATCTAAGAATAATAAATGTATTCTATAATAGATTAAATAGATATAATGGTTAATGAATAGATTAGCAAAAAATTCTGAACAAATTATTATTACGGAAATTTATAATCGTGTACACAATATTTTACTTTATAACATAGATTATAATATTAATTATTTAATAAAGATAAACTATTTGTAAGAAATGTGCAAAGACAATTATCAGATATCTATGTTAAAAATTATGATATTTAATCTGTGTAAACGAATATGAACATTTACCTACATCATACATTTTTTCCACACAGCTATATGTTCGCTTCGCGTATGAGTTTTAAATGTCGCGCGCTGAAAATTTAATTCGGAAATTTTGCTTGCTTATATTTTAAAGATGAAATTCTAATTTGTGAGATACGATTTTTAATAAATAACTTCAATAATTTGGAATAGAATGGACATGATTATTATTGTCATATAACACAGTTAACCTACATTTCCGTATTTTATATGACTATGTGCTTTTACTTATTTAATTACAAACTACTATAACTAATTGAATTAATTTTAATAGCTTTAAAGTATATATTTATTGTCTTTCAATAAATGTTTCTTTTTGGATGTATATATTAATTTCATATGAATATTATAAAAATATAGGTTTGGTATGTTTATTGCTGTAATTCATAAGAATTACAATATTATAATTTTATGTCATTGTATTAAGTTTAAAAATATGTCTATATACATTGTAACGTGAAAAACACATTTAACATTAGAAAATTCTGTCATTAGATTTAATATTATAAAGTTACACAAAAAAAAATGTAAAAATAATACGACATAATACATTAAAAATATAATTTTTGAATTCTTCCAATTTTGAAGATATATTTTGAGAGATAAAACATATTTAACAAAGCAGTTTTATAATAGATATTTATTCCTATGTATTAAAAATTTATAATTTCAAAGTATAGGCTAATTATTAATTGAATATTATTTATGAAATGTTATATAATTATAATATGTTACATATTTATTATGCTTTCATTTATATATGTATGTACTTTATTAAATGAAAACAATTTTTTATATTAACATTACTTTTTATGATCATAATAGGAATATCATTGACTTCATAGTTTACAATGTCAACTACATGAGTACTTACATGAAATACACATTGTCTAAATAACTATTGAAAAATTATTATTTTATATGAAAATTACATAAAATAATAAATTTTAAAAAATATTTTTACATCATTTAAATAACATTATTTATAATTACAAATTTATTACAGCAATAAACAAATTATAGAAAACATGTAAATTATTGTAATCTATAAAAATAAAGTTGAAATAATAAATCGTAAAAATAAAATCGTAATCGTAAAGTAAATATATGAATAAACAATCCTAAAAGAAAAAAATCAACAAATCCATGATAAAGAATAAACAAAAGAATAAAAAAATATATAAAGTATCAAAATAACTCTTCTGTAATAAATTACATTATAATTAAATAAATGTAAACAATAATTCTTCCAGTTAAAAAAAAAAGTGTGTATATTATATATATTAAATTATATTATGTATATAATATATTAAGTTTAAACTAATATATTAATCTGTAATATACTATAATATATTAGTATAAATGATCAAGAACAGTTTTAATAATTAATTCTTCTTATATTTTTCACAAACAATAAAAATAAATAATTTGCTAAAATATTATGAATTTATAGCTATACAAAATCATAAACTATAAATATTGATATAATCTATTAAATCATAAATAAATTTTATATACTGTTTGAAAATTATTGAAAAAATGAGGATTCCACAGTAATTAGTTAATATTAGAACAGATAATAAAATATAAAATTTAAGTGCTTTTTTGTATTTTTTAAATTAAATAATATGTTTAAATATAAAATATTTTTTGTACATATTAAAGCTTTTGAAATACATATTAATACTAATGAAGTATTTTTTAAATATGTAATTTATAGCAATGCTGTTTTTCTATATTAGTTTGTAGTTAACACTTATTTTCTATTTAATGTTATCATGAATATATGCATGTAATTCTTAAATAATGTATTACATAAAACATAAACTCTTATATTAATACATTATTGTACATTATCTTTTAGCATGAATAATTAAACATGGTACTTACAGTATACACGCAACAAAATGATCACAGTTACATGACAATTATATTCCACTCTTAGTACAATACTTTATTATTAAATAAATATAATTATGATAATAACAGTTATTCTATGTTCTATATTGAAAATAGTTACTATTTTACAAGCACTAAATTTTGGACATTCTGTTATTTTAAATATCCATGAATTGTAAATTGAAAATCTTGTTTCAATAATTATATAACATTGAAAATTGTATTTTCAATATTTATAAATAATGTATAAAGCATTTTTTACTTTTATTTGATATTAGAAAATAAAATATTTAACTATTATAAAAATATATAACAAAAGAAATTTAATTTGTTTTAAGCAAAAATAATCAAATGGTTTTACAAAATAGCATTAATTACATACACTATAATATAGAATTTTATATTCAATGCGTTATTTATTGAAACAGCTTATTATATTTGCAATAAATGATGAAATTTTTTGGTTCATAATATGATTCTAAGTTTTCACATACTAATTATTATCAGTAATTTTAAATATTTGCAATAAATTAATTACAAGCGAAAGCGAACTTTTTAAAATTTTTTTAAATTGAATACAATGTATGGTCCCAATAAATAAACTATAAAATTATCATATTATAAATTATGAAATCATAAATAAAATAAGTTGTCTTTTAATGCTACTATATTTTTGTAATTTAACATATTTTAGGCTTTATATATTTCAATATATAATTCTTTAAAATAAGGATTATTGTTGAATATTCTTATGATAATCTGGAAATAAAATTTATAAACTAATGAAATAGCATTAAATTTACATGTAAAGAACCTGTCTAAATACTACTTGTCTTTTATAAATGTTTTAAATTTAAAAATAATAGAGCATCTCTTATTTTTTTCTTCTTCTCCATTTTTTATTTTTTAAAACTGGCACATATAGCTACAATATCTAGCATTTATATTGCTAGTTACAAGAATGGGAAACCTATTTTATTTTGACTAGATGTTACAAAGTGCACATTGTACAGTAACATATTCTATAAACTGTACAAAAAAATGGTATTTGTTATTCATATAAAAAAGTTATGAATAGTTACAAATTTGTTATATATATAGAGCATACAAAAAAGAAGTGACATTAATTGTAAGAATTGCAATAACTATAATTTCATATTTTGGCATTAAAAATTAGAATGAATAATGCTCATGTTATATAAATTTTTTAATATGAAATTTTTTTTTCAATGAAATTTATATTACCTATAATTATTGAATTGAACATACTTTTGAAGTTCCATGAGAATCATCCATAGCAGCTGCTCGTCTTTTTATGCCTTCTAGATATATTTCACGATTAAACAAACCTCCACCAAGAGGAATACTGTAACACATATTAATCAAAAACTATGATATATTTTAAAAAAGAAATTAAACTTATATAAATGATACATACGTATCAATACCAGGCCTTATGGTTGTTTTAAAAACACCCCATACAGGTTTATGATCTGAAGTACAAATACTAGGTACAGAGTCATAAACCAAACATTCTATGACTCCATCTTTATGTGAATTAGAATTTTCATAACTAACTCTTCTAATATAACTTCTTGTATGTCCTTTCCCTTTAAAGAGAATTCTATCAGTATAAGCAGGTGTGCGTTGTTTACTGCTTGAGTCAAAATTTTGAGTTCCAGGATCATATTTATATGTAGGAGGAAATGTAATTGGTGCTTCTTCAAAACCACGTAAAACTGCTCCTTCATTAAGAATTGTTTGTAATTGATCTTTGTGTAAATTTATAGGTAATTGTTGTGGAAAGCATGTATCTGTAACCCACTGAATAACTTCTTCTCTTGGTTGAGCCAGCCGAAAATTTAAATCACCACACCAAAATACACAATCAAAATTTTGAGTTACATCTAAAAATATAATATTCATTCAGCATTTTCATAATATAATTTTTTTAATATAATAATAGTAATAAACATTTATATGTTCATACCTTTGCTTTTATGTCTAGTAGGTAACTCTTTAGGAAGATCAAGATTTCTAACTATTCTTTTAATATCATTTACCCTTTCTTTAACTTTATCCTGATGTGCAGTTAAATGTGCGGTAACAAATAGAAAACTTGTGCCAAATAACATTAAAGCTATAGCTACTGCTCCTTTTGTTCTAAATGCAGTTCCTGTTCTAGTTGAAAAACTAGCATCTTCATGAATAGAACAAAACCAAATTAAATCTCTTCTTAAGAAAAGTGCAAGATGTAGTGTCCCTAAACCAGTACTACAAAGAAGTACATGAGAAGGGCCAAGAGTTTCTTGTAAAGCTGCCTCCCACTCACTTCGCTCAGAGCATGATTCTTGTGTTCCAATCGCTAACAAATCGGGAACAGTTTCTATATCTGACGGTAACATAAAATCATTTAGCTCTTTTGGTGGATTCTGTCCATTCATATTCCATGTACCAATAAAAATTTTTAATTCACGATTTGGTAATACTTTTTCAAGTTCTACTGGTCCAAGTAGTGAATTTGCAGCAATCCTTCCGTGAAGAAAATTTCTATAGCAGAGAAATCATAATGTTTAAGAAAATAAAGATAAACATAAAAATATATTATTAAAAAAATATATTATTAAAAAGTTTTATTAAAATTTATAAACCTTTCTCGTGCTTTTTGTGTAGGAATCAGATTAAGAACTTGTGCAGCTAATAATGCTTGTTTTGCTAAACTATCCATAGATGTTCCAGTTGTTTGAGATTGATGACGCTCTTTTTTTTTGGACAATGCATCATGAGATGTAGAACGTGGTTTAAGCTGAACAGGTGCACTTTTTATAGATTCTGGACTTGAATGTCTCATAGAATTTGTTGGTGAATTCCCTACTAAATTATCCACAGATCGTCTATGAATTAGTTTTTGTCTTAAATATGTAGGAACACTTGGGGAAACAGATCCAGAGGATGAATTTTCACCTAGAACATTAAAGTAATATAAAATTATATAGAATAATTTAGAAACTTTTTAAAAAAATATGAAATTCAAATAACACATGTATTTTAAAATGATATCTTGAAGAAATGAAGTACATTAGAAAATAGAATGATGAAGGATATTAGAACTTGTATCTGTAATGAAACTAAATTGGTTCAATTGCTAGTTATTGTATTATTGATGCTGACATAGTTATTCAGAAATTAGCAGGAATATCTGTGATTTAAAATAGATGTTTTAACTAAATATTTTGTTCTTTTCTCAAAGTAATTATATAATTAAAAATGATATTGGTAGATATAATTACATATAAAATAAAATTGAATTATTTCTTAGATAGGAAATTTTGTAGAAATATGTAGAAATATTATAAAATTTATATTATAAAATTTGTATATTATACACACAATATAATATAAATTTTATCAAAAAATTCAAAATAAATACCTTAGAGATTTTTAATCTATGTGATCTATGTATATATAATAAAAAATCTTTAATAAATATTTACATTATTAATAATTCCATAATTTAAATATTAATATTTTACAAGTGGCTGAAATGATGTAACATTTATATAATAATAAAATAAAAACATTTGAAGAAGCACGAGAATCAAATTTTAAGCAGCAGGTATATTTCATTTGTTTTATTATACCTTTTTTTCCTGGTTTTTCAGTATTGTTAGATTCATAGTATTGAACCATACTGTAAACATCAGAAGGATTGTAGAACATCCGTTCCATTTCCAAGAAGAAATAAGTGATATATTTTCCTTTTGTAAAATATTCATCCTTTAAACATTTTTCATTTCTTTCATAATCAATTAAAAGATCATTTTCATCTTCTGACGATTCCTCAAATGAATCTTCTGTTGACTCTGCAGAGAAATCACTATCTTCACTATTCTCATGTGACATTACACTTTTTTCTTTTATTAAAAATTTATGTAATTTTTGTAAATTATTCATAGTGCCAGAATACGGTATTAAATTCGATATTTGCACAAAAGTAGTATCAGAATGTGACACAACCTTTGAAAAAGAATTAGTATGTTTTGAAGAATCACTTTTATTTAGCAAATGTACATCTGTTATGCTATAATTTGGATCTAAAAATGCTATCTTTTTATCTAAATTTCTATCTGAACCATATTTATATTCTTTTTCATCTTTTTCTGCATAAATATCTGTTGCACTGAATGTCTTTCTATCTTTTGGAATATTTGATAAATTTGTGCATAAATCATTAGGACATAAATTATCACTTTTTTTAAATCTTTGAGTTGTGTCTAATACATTTTCACATAACGTAAATTTTAAATATTGGTTGTCACATGAATTTTTAATATTAATTTTATGATTATTATTTTCTGTATTGGCAAAATTCACCTCTATATTAATATCATGCTGCAATTTAGACACATTTTCTTTTTCATTATTACTACTGTCATGAAATTCTGTATTTAAATTTTTAGTACATTCTTCAAAAGCTTCTCCAAATTTTAAATTTTGTTTAGTTTCCCTTTCTCGTTTGTCACTTTTATTTTGTTTAAATACTTTGAACAATTTATTGAGAAAAGAATTTTTCTGTGTTTTATTACTTGAATTAGACATGCTTAAAATATGATAGTTAACATAATACTTGAAACATGTTCCTATATCAAAGATTAAGTATTAACTGACTGTCAGTAAAACCATATCTTTTTGCATAACATAACAACACAATAAGAGCAATCTTTGCAGGTATGTGTTGAAAAGTTTAGTGGGGATGTGCAAGGTCACTACCTTATTCAATCAAATTAGAGAGTTGATAAAAAGTGAAACGTCATAAGGAATGTATTATTTAGTGTTATGTACACTTCAGATTTAAATAGTTAATGAATGAAAAAATGATCTAGAGGAAACAATTAAGCAATGATTTATCAATTACTTAAATAATTAAACATTATTTAAGCAAGTCTGAATTTTTAAATTTACCAACCAAATAAATTATTATGATAATGGATAAAATTTAAAAAACTTTTAATTTTTAATAAAATAAGTTCTTACCTTCAGTAAATGTACTTTGTCGCTCTTTGCCCATAAAAACACTATTCTTTTCTACAGTTTCTTGGACATTATGCGTGCTTGCTATATACATTTCTTCTTTTTCTATCATTACATCTGTCTGACAATTTCCATTAGCAGAAGCTACTTCAGATTTAACAGATGTATGGCTTAATGTAGTTGGAGATAATCTACTGACAGTCAAACTTTGTGGCGGTGTTCTGCTGCGTTCAGTCATTGCACAGCATAATGAAAGTTTTGTACTAGTGTGAGATCCATGTTGGGAATTTTCTAGTTTAGAATTTTTATTTGAATCACCATCCTTATAAGATGTTTCTAAACATCCGACTTTTGTCTTTTTATTCATAAGCATACGGCAAAGAGACTTTTTCTTTTGTTTCGATTTAGGAGAAATGTCTGCCTTAGCATTTGTTGCATTAGATACATTAGTTTCTTCACATTGCTCCATGGTATTTGTGATTTTATGTTTTTTATGTTTTGAACACCATGTAATTAATCCACTATCAATGAATAAATATTTATTATTGCATATTTCAAATATATCATTTAAAAAAGTTTAATAAAATCAATCTATTGTATATATCACTATTAAATAAATCAAACCATAGGCATTTGTAATTTGTAGTCATTTAGTTGTATGATTATAATCATTCCTTTTAATATAATTTAACGTATAAATAAGAATTTGTTCAATGTCTATGCTCGTATGATATAAGTACTTATTTATATATAGTTTTTATATAAACAGTGTGCAATTATTATAATATATATTTCTATTATATAATATAGACTTGAATCGTAAAACAAGATGTTTATCTTGTTAACATCTATAGTACTTTATTACGTTAATATATCTTTACCATATTTTTCATGTTTAAAGAAACACATTTAATGTTGTGTTAATAAATAATTGCACTTTAAATATCAATAAATTTAACACTTTCATATTGATTAATTTGGATAGAATAACTAGAGTGATTATAAATAATACATATTTGCAAGTATAATTTAGGATGACTGTTTAGTTTCTTGATCTTTTTTTCTTAGGCATAACATTTATTCTTTTAATGAATATTATTTCATCAGTTATTCGAAGGAACTTTTGGCTGTATATATCTTTCGAGTTGTGCTGCAAATCAAATTTCATAAAAAAATATTGTGCTCATCGAAAATTAGAGGTTAATTGGACTCAAATTGTCTACACTCTTTTTTTGTATTATTATGAAATTCACTTTGACTTTGAGTCTCACATTGACTATGCATTGACACGTCATTCACGTTAAAATCCATAACAAACTGCATTGTGATTGAAAGTAATTGAAGAACGACGAACAACTCTAACTTCCGCCTCCATGTTTAAGTGAAAAATTAAATAAAACGTGTGACATGTATGTCGTATTTTTAAAAATTCAGTATCGACTTTGTCGTAATCATCATTTTATTGACAAATCATTCTTATTTTCAACAAAACTGCCACAAATCCAAATACTGTATCTCTTCACCGCTTCGGCGCTGATTTCTGAACTTGCGCAGCTGTCAATTAAGCAGACGATAATATTACCACATTACGATATTTTCTATAAAACTCCATATTTTCTTAACCAAGTAACTCGCACCAAATATGTTTGAAAGAGAAATTGTCAATATTTGAAAAAAATGTCCAATGACCAGTTAGAAAAATGATATTGCTTAGCTAATTAAAAAGCATAACTGTCAAAACGAGCAGACGACATTCATTAACGTCTCACTGTTGGCAGAAGCCATTTGTGACGCAATACACTTCATGCACTTCGTCGTCAACGTATACATGTAAATACAAGTATATATAAGTATTTGGTTGGCTAGTACCATTTGGCGGGTTGCGTCACATATAATGTTTGTTTACGTGATGATAAGTGTACGTTTAAAGAAATACGAATATATGTACAATTGAATTATACTAGAAGATAGACATACGCTCAATTGCAATAATTATTCGATTATAAATAGAAAAACTTTGTAACTTTCTGTTTTACAAATCGATCACGTAAATAACACGTTAATTAAATGTAACCAAATAATCGTTCGTGAACAAACAGTGGTGTAAAATGCATATTTAAATTTCGATGATTGCGGTCATTCCGAAAATACAATGTAAATTACAGAAATTTATGTTTTTGTTAAAGAAGATTCCAGAAAGACGCAGAAGCGACACTACATACATATGTATGTAGGAGACAAATGTTTGTGTATCAGTATATTGCCGCTTTTTCCAAACGTTCATTCAATGTTGCTGCAATTAACAAAAGCAATGTAACATAGATTCGTCTATTACTAAGACTTGACTGCGGTGAATTTATTACGGAACTAGACATTGGATACGAAGCATTTTAACAAATACACAGAGTAATAAAAGAAATGCCACGGCATGGTAAGTATTAATGCTGCACTTAATTGTGGCTGTAGTAATATTTATTAGACGCAGCGATATGAATAATGATAAATTTAATAAATACGAAAGGTTTTTATAAAAATGTTTTAACCATGATGTATGTCAAGAAGGGAAAAGGTAATTAAATTACAAAGAAAAAATTAGGAAACAACAAAAGAATAATTTTTCAATATATTTCTGAATTATAGTATATATTGAATTTTCAAACACACTAACGATAATTTTTTACTTTCGGCAATAACTTCGAGTTTCACTTATTTTTAAGTTACGGATCAATGATCCATAGTTTTTCAAGTAAAGTACACACACGCGCTTCTACATTATATATGGCGTGTCGGATATATGGGCAGAATTTTAATGAAAGAAAATTTTGCGAATAGAAATCGCGAATATGGGCGGTGTTAAGGGTGGCTTTTAGTTCTCAATTATTTTTGACGACGTTACGAATAACTCTAACAGCGTCAACAATCAATTCCATAGAGAATAAATTTAAACACGAAATGTTTAACGTTGAAATGACTAATCACATTTCAAATTCTATTTCACGAACAATTACAAAAGATACAAACAACGCTTTTTTTCACGTATGTCTTTGACAAATAGATATATCTCAACGGAAACGATGATACTAGTACCAAAAGTGCAATATTTTTAGTAACATTTTCCTTTTGACAAACAAATTCAAAATGCGTACGTATGTGTATGTTTCGTACGATCTCATTAAACGGCTTAATGTAGAATACATTCAGAGAAATACAAGTTGAGAAACGATGAAAGAATAAGCTGAGTTTCTAAGTTGAAATTTTTATTGCTAAATATTTGGATAGTAGTAAAAAAAAAAAAAAAATAGCAGTGAGAATTCGGGGGGAAAAAAGATTGTGCATACATGAGGAAGGATGTGTACTGTGAACGAATGAGCGAGAAGGGGTTAACGAAAGAGGGAATAAGATAGAAACGTAATTCGCGCCGCCACCGCAAGGTGTCAGCATTGCATGCGGCTCGCTCACTAGCGGCCACCATTGTTGAAATTCTGCTTTGGTTGATGCCCCGACGATTTTTTGACCGAAAATTGTAAATTCGCCAGCCCCTGGCAAGGGCCCTGTGCGGAAGGTGCGTATCCCATGGTAATCCTCAGACCATGGCAAAGCCATAGCTACCGTCGGTGACGTGTTTCGCGATAAAAAGAGGCCCACCGGGGAAAGCCAGTGAAATCGAGTGTGCCCATCGATTTACACGAAAGAAAGAGGCACCCATGTCCGTGTCTCACGTCTTGTCGGGGTGTTGGTGTTGTGTGCGCTGCCTGAATTGTGCATGGTACGTGCGTGCATGCGTGCCGGTACAATGCAACGCGTCTGTCCCTCGCGCACCATGCAATCTGTCGATCTTAGATTCTGTTGCCTGAAATGAGGAAGAACGTTCGATTGCCCGAGTGTCCCCGAGAGTGTGAGATATTTGGGCGTCAGACACCGATCGTACGAATAACTTGGAGATCCTGAATTATACGTAGGCGCACGTTGTTCCGCGTGTCGGCAACACGCGATTCGCGCGTTATCGACGATACTGTCCAGGTGTGGGGAAACACTGATGTTGCATCTCTGCCTCGATGTTTTGCGTTGTCTCTCGTTGTGTGCAAATATCCCACACGGGAGTTAGACGTCTCTTCTTTTCACGGTTCGCACGTTGTGCGTGCATAGGCGTGTGCACACGCGAACGCACGTCATTCATATATGTATGCATACGTGCGCGCCCCTGAGTATTTTCCATGGGTGTATATGCACAGCTTGGTTAACTTGGTGCTCTCTCTTCGTGTATATGCGTGCTCTAGTGCGGTACGTTTACGCATACTGCGTGCCATTTGGAATTCACGAAAAAGTACACGAACTGTGTCCTGCTACCACGCCGTTGGATCAGCAAATCGGGATATACAGTGTTACACTCGCATGCCCATCGCTCCCCTCGTGGGGAGTAACGTCGGCTCCGGGGAACACAGTGTTATTTTTTTCCCCCCTATCGTGCCCGTGTGTAAAACCGTTAGAATTTTACGCCGATGTTGTTGTGACAGTTTCTTTTAAAAATACGTATCGTTCCGAATCGAACGATGAAACATTTTCGAAATGGACAAGGCTTGATGCTTTTTGAATTGTTTCCATCAACATTGACACCCTGACAACTATACTGTGATTTTTCATCATTACGTACTTAAAATCCGTTAACAAATATCGAATCGTTTGTATAAATTTTGTACTTTTTTTTTTTTATTTGGCTCAAATACTGTGAAGGGTTACTTTCAATTATGAACTGGAATTATGCTGTTGTTGGACAAGTAAAAATATTTTTCCTCCTTTCTTGTGAACTTCTCACGTTGGTATAGTCATAGATTATTATAATGCTATATTGTAATGCAAATATAAAATTATTGAAATGTAATATTCATACATAACATTGAATACGGTAAAAAATATATAAGGCAAATGCTATTTAAAGATGTAAACAGTACAACTACAAACTTACCCTGTTGCAGAAAAAATTTGTGCTTTGCGAAATATATAAATTATATAGAAATATTTTGATAGAAAAGATTTCTTTTCTTTTTATTTAGAATCAAATAAATTCGTATCTAAGTATTTAAATTTTGTATGTTTCACAAATTTATGTGCTTATATAAATTCATAAAAAATATTTATTGTCAACTAGTTCTATGTTTAGTTATTATCAGTATCAGCGTTATTGATATATTTTACTTTTATGTCAATTATTAATTTAACAAGAAATAAACATTCAGTTATTTATTCATATAAAGAAACTAGATGTTTAAATATCTTTTTATAATAATTTTTGAAATTAGGAATGTTTATGATTATAGATGCACATTACATGGAAAAACAATCAAAACTTTTAGTTTATATAATTTATTAAATAAACATCAACATTATCAATGTATATGTAATATTAATCAGTATTATGGTGTGAATTGTCAAAACATAAGGATTATTTCCAACAATGGCAATCATAATTTTTAGCCCTTCTTTGACATATAATATATCACAAGAATAGAAAAATATTATTACACGACTTTCTTTTATTTAACTTTTAAAATTCATTTGATAATAAGACAAATAATGTAATCGTTAATTCTCAGTAAAAATGTTTGTTTACAGGGCCATTTATACTTGAAGTTGCGCCAAAATGGGCGCTATCAAATAATTTCATGCAGTGGGATTACATACAAGAATTGGTAGCACATGGTGGTGTGCCTGATGTATATGATTTACATCACAAGGAAGAAAATATAGGTGTGTCTGATGTATATGATTTATGTCACAAGGAAGAAAATATAGGTGTGTCTGATTTAGATTTAACTTATGTTAATCAATTCATAAATTTCATACAACCAATAAACAATAACAAGATCGCAAACTCTAATATCGAAAAAGAAACAGTTGATAAATGTTTCTCAGAATTTTCAGAACTTGTGTTTAAAAATCACAAGGAAAGTTATAGTACCTGTCACAGTGACGATAATAAAATAAAACCAACTAATTTATTAAATACTAACAAAGTCATAGCCACTTATTCATTTTGCAAAAACAAAGGTGAAAATTTATCTGATACAAAAAAGGAAATTGATCATCATCATAAAATTGATTGTATTCCCTGCTTGTCAGAACAATCACATATTACACAGTACAAGACTTTGTCCAAAAGTTTGGAGCAGTATAAAGATACTTACAACCTTTTTTGTGCTTCTGAAGAAGACAAGCCACTTAATTTAGTAAAAAAACAAAAAGATAACAAAGGTTGTTGTAAGAAACAAAGTGAAGATAAAAAGAAACTGTACAATTTTACTGATACAAAAGTATCTTTAAAAAACTGTGCTATTTCAAATCAAACAAATAATTCCTTTAACATAGAGAATTGCTACAACACAAAGTACAAGGAAATAGACTATGGTTTATTAAAATTCTCAGATTTAGATGATTTATCTTCTAAATTAAAAACTGATAATACATTATTTAAAGCTCCAAAACATAAATTATGTAAAAATTTAGAAACAAAGTTAAATTGTGTACCAAATAAATACTTAGCGCAAGAAAGTATTCTTTCTGTTGATAAATATTTGAACAATAAAACTTCAGTGCTTCTATATGAAAAGAAAAATACAGATCTTTCTTTTGTACATTCATCTCTGAATGTCAAGAATACAAGTATTAAAAGTGAATCTTACTCAGACGAACAGATAAATAAGTCAAAGAACGCATATTTTGTAAGTACTTGCAAACCAATATTAAGTAATTGGGAGGATTTCGAAATGTCAGGACAATATCCGGGTCATAGCCGACCTCCGGTGGGCACACCTCCACCTCAGACAGTTTGGAATCATCTCACAATGGCACAGAGTCAAGGTAATAAAAATATATTTAATATTTTTACTATAAAATGATATATAAATATTATTTTTTTATATTGAAAATGTTTGTCTTAGTTTCAGGCTTAAACATTCATCCAACAGCCTTATCAGGTGCTGCATTGAGTCCAGCAGGATTTTACACACATCCATCTATGGCAAGAGCATCTCATATAACATCACAACTTACACCACAACTTGCACATACTCAAGCACCTCCAACATGGCATACACCAACTGTTCCATCAAAAACTGTTACACCAGCCAATACACCAGGGAATCCTTTGTTCAGTTTACAAATGCTGGTAGATAATAGGCAGAACCAAAGTCAGTATAGAAACTCACCAGGTTCACAAAGTACACTAGATTTATCATCTACTTCCGAAATTATTCCTGAGAATTATTCTCGAGTACCTCAAGACATCCCAATAAGTTTAACTGCAAGGAATGTTGATAAGGGTAGCAGAAATGGAAATATTATTTCTCCCCCAATACCTCTGAATGGAGAAACTTCATCTGATAGTGGAATTAGTTCTTCAGTTCCAACACCCAATTCTGTTAGTGAACCAGTTTCACTTTCAACTAAAGAAGTTACAACACCTAAAATAACAGTAAAAAACTTTGAAAGCAATTTAAAAGGAGTGGCAAATGTTCATGATAAAATTAAGGAAATTAATGTAGATAATTTTACGCAAAAAGTTATAAACTTACCACCTAGTGTAACAATTGAAAGGGTACTTCCGGAAAAAAAAGAACCTGAAGTTACAAAAAATAAAGATACATTAAGTGTTATTGCACAAGTACCAAGAAATGTTTTACCTGTTATTGTAAATCTTACCTCTAGAATGGACAAAGATGTGACAGATAGTCCGAAAAGAGAATCGTCTTCAGAACGAGATCGAAAAGTCGAAGAAACGAATGTCAGGTCACCTAAAAATTTACCAAAAAGAGGCAAAAAGGGTGTAGATTCTTTGTTAGAAAAATTAGAAGGTGGAAACAAAAAACTTGGCAGTGCAGAAAATATTGGATCTGTTATAGTAATGCCAGTAGAAGAAAAAGATACATCGAGTGTCAAAAGTATGTCTCCTGATAGACAAAAATCGAAATCTCCAAATAGGGAAGATGAAGTAGTATCTCCGGCGTTTAGTAATGACGATTCTAACGATAATACTAAACAACGCAGAAAAAGAAAACTAGAGAAACCTGTACGACTTAGTAAAGACTCCAAAACAGAAGTAGAGGATATGGAATTAGAACCTACAGAGCCAACAGAACCTAGAACAGGTGAATCAATACCAGAAGAAACAACAAATGCAACTCCAGTTGTAAAATTAGAAGACAACATTGATACAACAGAACAGAGAATATCTGAAAAAGCTGTAGAAAGTGTAGAAGAAACAAGTGAAGAGAATCAACCTATTAGAAGGCGGAGAAGTAGTGAAAGTACACCTCCTAGTTCGACACCATCGAATCAGAGGGTTAGAAGAAAATCTAGCGATGATGCTGCTGAACTTTCAAAAGTAACAAGTCCAAAACCTGTAAATAATACGAATCCGTTTAATGAAGTTGAATCAGAACTCGAAAAAATGTTTGCCGGTATTGTTGAGACAGAGACAGATGTCAAGAAGGAAGAATCAAAATCAGATCTTACAGAATCTGAACTTCAGGCCGGTAGCACAACTAAAGTCGAAAATTTAGAAAATAATGTATTGCACGCAAAAGAAACGCCAAATATAAATCCTACTGATGTTTCATCTACAGTCGATACTAAAATATCTGGAAAGAAAGGAAAAAAGACTAAAGTACAAGGTGGTAAACGAAAGATGTCTAGATCATCTGAAAATATTTTTGGAACTGTCGGTAATGATATACCTCAAAAGGAAATCAAAAAAAGAAAAATATCTAAGAGTTCAAAAAAACAGGACGCCTCAAAAAAGATTAAAAAAAATGCAAAGGTAGATGGAATAAGAGAAATGGCATACGATTCTGGGTCAAATGCAAGTTCTATTAGATCTCGTGGACCTGTAGTTCATGTTGAAGGTCCAAGGGACAGCCCATTAAGCATTCAGGTAGTTAATGCTCCACGGGAAGAAGAAGAAGAGAAAAGTAAAGAAAAACGAAAAAGTATTGGAAACGGTAATGCGGGGAGAAGTAAGAGACTCAGTCATCAAAACGATTTAGACTATAGAGGTGTGTATTTTAAATTTAAATATATGTTTATACAAATATATAATATATTTAAATATATGTTAGATATATGTCTATGTAAATTCGCAAATATAAATAAAATTTACACTTTATACAGGTAAAGTCAGTAGAGCGGGTCTCTTTAGTTCAACATTGTCATCGCGTTATGACGCGCACACAACAGATTCCACATGGATTTGTGTATTTTGTAAACAAGGTCCTCATTCTGTAATACCTGGGGATCCTGCTCGGCCACATCCTAATTTAGCTGGACCACATATAGCACCTGGAACATACACTGTATGTATAATATATTTTTTTTTTTCTTTAATATCTTTTAACTCAATTTTTAATTATGAATATTTAGAAATAATATTTTTCAAATTGTAGGTTCCAGCTGGCGTTTTGAGTGATTTATTTGGGCCATATTTAATTGGTAAAGAACGTTTAGAAGACGGTATTCTGTCGGCGGATGAACAAGAGATTACCACGGAACAGAAAAAAGGTGGTAAGAATAAAAGAAGTCTGAGGTATGCTGGTTTAGCTGATCAGTTCACTGCTAAAATGGGTAAAAAGAAAAGAAATTCCATTGAAAGTAATACCAATGCCATGTTTACTGGAATGACCGTACTCCCTGGAGAAGAACAACGTTGGGAAGTGTGGCTTCATGAACAATGTGCCATTTGGGCAGCCGGAGTGTACATGGCAGGTATAACAAAAACAACTTTCTTACAATTTATTACAGTAACAAAAATATATTATAAAATTTTGAAGAAAAAAATCGATTTATATCACAGGTGGAAGAGTAACAGGTTTGCAAGAAGCTGTATGGGATGCAGCAAAATCGATATGTGACTCTTGTGGCTTAACAGGAGCAAATATTGGTTGCGTTAAACGCGGTTGTAAAGCTGTTACGCATTATCCTTGTGCATTAACGAAAGGTTGGCACTTGGATACTAATCAGTATATACCGAAGTGCAACCTTCATCGGGTTACGTGAAACTTCGGTGAGTTCGCCAGTATAGGCTATTATGAAATAAATTATGTCCATTATTTTACAACTTATGGCTTTAATTTGGAGCACCGAATAATGATTAATAATCATAGAAATTCATGTTCACATTTATTTATAAAAAAAGTATATTAAAGGATATGTCAAAACGTAAAACAAAACATCTATATATAAATTCATATGTATTATAAGAAATATTTAACACTTTAATCTCTTGTTCACTGTGTCTTATACATAATCAATATCTTTGTTGAAAAATCAAGTCTAATTATTAATTTATATTTTTCAGCATTTAAAATTTTTGAGACGTTTTAAAATTACGCTTTGCATCATTCGATGCATAAGTGTGTTTGAAGTGTGAAAGTATAAATGTCAAATGTATAAAGGACAGACGTATGGTAATTTACATACACGAAGTATCAATATGCTCGACAGAAATATCTTCCAATGTACAAGATGTTCAAACGAGAATGCTGTTACTGTCTTAAGAATTTCAAATGAAAATGGAAATTAACGGAAATGAAGAAGTGGAAGTTCTCGTTAATTAAATTCAATTAATTTTCTTGGCCTGTGGCCTTGAACAGTGGCCTTTTCGACCTAATGTAAAAGGAAGATTTTTTAATTTAAAATTTGTAGTATAGACGAATCGTTATTGAGGAACAATGTTAATCAAAAAAGTATTTGCTTTTTTACTAATGTTTATGAAATTTGAAAACGTTACAAATTTTTCCCTAAAACATCATGTACGCAGGAATAAAATATAGGGCATATTGTACCAAAATTTGAACAAAAAATCAGAATTCGGCAAAAGAATGAAAAGCACTGAATTTCTCCTAAGTTGTATGTGTGTATATAAAATGGAATGGATTATTAATCAATTAAATTAATGGAATTTGAACATTCTTGACGCGTTTCGAAAGAAGTGTGGATAAGAAACATATAGACAAGTGTTCTCCTGTGAATGTAAGAAAGCATCTGTAAATAACAAAGTTCTTATATGGAAAAAGTAATTATTATATTATTATATACAATTTCAATGATATTACAAGACATTTTTTTGTTTTTAAGAATCATTATTTTAGTAAGCATGTGTAGTTATGTTCTTTATTGCGGGAAAGTACATTTAGTGTAACAATACTTATTTCTATTATAATTTTTTGAAGATTAATTGTGACATATAAATCTTATGTAGGTGTAAATAAAATAGATTTTCGCTCATATAATATTTCCCTTTATTTCTTAACCTTGTCTATTTTATAACTATACATTGAAATCATTTTTTTTTATTTAAAGAGAACGAGCTCACATGTTTACTTGAAAAGAGAACACTTGTAATAATTGTAATTATTGTTGTTAATATTATATTTCTAAGAAAAAGATGGACATTTGTTCTGGAAATATTATCTTCTCTTTTTCTGACATGTGACAATTATAACTTTACTGTATACTATAATTTATGAATGTGTGAAAGCAGTGATTAAGATTTGATAGTATATATACAATTTAGTGATTAAATTAATCGCTACTTATTATAAAATTTATGGTAATTATTACTGATTTATATTATTTTTTTCATATTAATATTATTGTAATCATCATTTGCACCGTCATTATCATCATTGTCGTTTTCATCAAATTTTATAACAATATAAAAGAATCGAGTTTTTATAATAACAAATATACGAACATTGATAATATTGATTCTCTTGATATATCAGGGAGAAATAGTAAAAAGCAGGAAAATTGTATAAAAATATATAGAATAAAATGTACATAATATTAATTTGAGTAGGAAAGAAAGGTGTATATGGACATGCATATATACACATAAATCAGCAAGTATGCGAAAAAAAAAGAGTTGCCATTCCTCTTCAAAGTTTGGCAAGAATAATCATTTTTAAAGTTAGTTATATAGATAAAAAAAATAAGTTGTCAAAGAAAAAAATTCTTTGTACATATATAACATATAGTAACAAATGTCTTGTAAAAAGAATTCGAAGACCGTAAAAAAGCATTTTATTTAGAACTTTTAAATAGTTTATCTGTTTTAACGTAAGGTGATAAACAATTTAAAAGTAAACGTATCTGGGTTCTTCTTAAACTCCTTACAGACATAGTTCGTTACTTTTACATGAAGGGCAATCTTTGTAAAATAAAAAACAAAGAAACAAATAGCCAAAAAATACTGCTATTGAGTTCAATAAAAAAAAGTTAAATTGTAAACAAAACGCTTATATTATACAATTGTGTATGAAAGGGAAACAAAATTCTATCTTAGATGAATAATTGTAATATTAATACTTGTGATACAAAAATATTTCGGGATAGAATGGTATGATGAATAATTCCAATATATTCTTTCTTTAAATCTAACTCTGCGTACATAGAGTACATACTATCTATATACTTCTGTACAGTTCAGTTTTATGGTTCCACTATAGTATTGTAAACATATTAGTCTATTTGTGGAAAAAAATATGAATCAAGATATTATTAGAAGTTTTAGGAATTTTAGAATTCTCTTTGTACGCATAGTTATATTAACATTTAACAAATTTTGAAAGTGACACGGCAAAATGTTTTATGATCTGTTTTGTATAAATGCTAAACTCATTTGGCTTGTAAATTGCGGAGATAATTTAAAACACTGATGCGCAAAAAATTTGAATATCACAATGCCTAAGTAATTTGTGTAAAATATAAATCTGTAAAATAAAATTGTCACATCGTGATATATGATGAAAGAGGTAACGGTAGTAATGTTCGCGAATTGAAAGTAGCAAAGAAACAATTATGTAATGTTAAAAAATTAATAGGTATTTTTATTCCTTGCCTATTTCTTAAGTCTAATTTAGTTCCGTATTTTTCCTCCTCTTTTTTGTTCGGTTTTCTTTCTTTTCTTGCTTTTATGTTGCTTTCAAAAGCCACTTGTAGTTTTATACATTTTCTGTGACCTGGTTTAATATTAGTAATCAATAGAAAAAGAAAAGTATCAAATTTAATCTATTTAGTAATGTCAGAATAGTAGAACAAAATTCGCGGAATGTATTTGAAGTCGATACAATAATACAGTTAAATATATATCTTTGTGTAATATAAATATAATAAATAATAAAACATGGTATAAGTCACGAGTCAGAATAACTATAGACAATTTCAAAATGGCCCTTTAAATATGAATGTACAAAATTTAAAAAAAAGACTATGGAATAAAATTCTCGTACTAATTTTGATTCCATTAATCAAAACAAAATAAGGAAGTATTACGTATAAAGAGCATGCAAATTTCGATTGCGTAATACAAATGTTTATGTACATGACACAAAAAGGATAGTATTATTTTAATCCGTAATATTTAATTTTTTTTTTTTTATTATATAAAGCGTACTAAAACGAATCTTTGTAAATATATTTAAATACAGTAAATCCTTAACCAAAATATACACTTTTGTATTGTGAAGATACCAATGAATTATAATTTTTTTCTTACGTATTGCACTAATGTATAATTTTAGGTGTTTTATATATATATATAAAACATAATATCGCGAAGAAGATATTAAGAATCAACCATGAAAATAGATATAGAATCTTTTATTCAGTAATTTTATTTCAATCAAAAATGATTTAAAGATAGAAATAATGAAAAATATTTTTAATACGGAAGACACGAAATTTTACAAAAACTGTAATTCCTGTAACATAATATCGTTTTCAGAAAAAAAGTGTAAAAAATCACGTGTAAGCAAATTTAATTTTAATTTCCAGTTATTTATTCTTAATTTTGATATTTAAATTATAATAGTAGAATTGTAGTGTATAACAGCAAATATTTTGTTTTGTTACATATTATGAATTAATATTCTTCTAATAAAAATATATTACAATAAAATAAATCTATTTTATTTTACTTTTCATATTATTTAAAATGTATCTATCAATTTAATCTTATAAATTATAAGAAAATAAAAATTTTACATATAAAATAAAATTTGAACGTGTAAGTGGGAAATCGTATGTTGCGCTCCATGCGCCATCTTGAAATTTAAAGAAAGACGTAATGTTGTATGTCTTATTCCCGATATATCAATGGTTTTAATCTTCCCGTCATTGGTCAGGGAACGAGAAAGTCTTCCCACTTTCTAGTTTCTAGTAGGATTCGCTTCTTCAGTATGCTACTGACTGCGGTGAGAGATGGTTGTGTTCCGTAGTGACGTTCGTATGGTGTTCAAGTATTCATGAAGTTTTGTGACTTTCGCATCGACATAGAAATTATGTCGACTCAAAATGGGTAATTTACTAATGTTAGTGAAGTTTAGTGTAGTACTTCTTTTCTATACTCTGGATTATACACGGGCTGACAACGAATTACAAGGTAATAAAAATCCTCTATACTTGCATAATGGTGTCTCATATATCAAACACACGTGGTTATCCTAATCTACATACTTATGTTATTTCTTGACATTTAATATTTTGGCGCCCTGATTTGTCGTCAAATCTCTCGATAGCATACAAGTTAGTAAATTCAAAAAATTTGAGTATTATTCTCGTATATATAAATTTCATATCGTACAAAGTACAAAATTACTTTTTCAATCGTGTTTTTTTAGCGAATCTTTATTTATGTATTAAATAATTCGGATATTAGCTTGTGTCATGTAACTATGCTTATATTATGAAACATACTCTTTTTCATTGTATATGAAACGCAACAGTGACTGAGTTCATCTCGAAGTTAATTGTTTTACAATGCTTACGATTTCGTAGGCGTACTATACCAGAAATCCTCCTTTCATATCAACTCTGTTTCCTTAGTGCTCGTGTTGTTATATTAACAATTATTTATTGAATTATTTATTATTAATTATTGAATTATTTATTAATAATTATTTATTGAATTATTTATTAATAATTATTTTCACAAAATAACGCTTGCATCATAAAAATAATTAATTTTGAAATAATAGATATACATACACGCCATATCGAAGTTCGCGTAACTTAAGATATCGATATATTTTCGATATTCAGAAAAACTTCAAGTAATCACTTGTAATCAGTTGTTTGAAATTTAATATGACAAAAAAAAACAAAGTTTTAACAAAAAAAATTTTAATTCAAAAATGCATATTATGGTAACATGGAAATTTTTGATAATTTTATGTAAAATAAATATCTTTGTAAGTACTTCTGAGTTACTATCATGTTTCCGTAAGAGTTTTCTAGTGTTTAAGAAAATTAATAATTTGTCATTTTGCGTGAAGAATGTTGGAGAAAAAGAATTGAAATCTGACCAGTTTACAAGAGATTAAATATCTTTACTAAAGATAATTTTTATTGCTTTCATAACTGAACTAGGACGTCAATTCACTTTAATTTTAAATAACTCTTTAGGAAAAATTTAAGGGATCTCAAATTGACCGAGCGAATTCGAGCGCGCTAATCAAAGCATACAATTACCCGAAATTATACACAAATCACAACGTTGCTTATATAAATTTTATATTAATTCTTGTCATACAATTAGTATCGTCATTTACTTGAAAATTTTACAAAAATTCCTACCATTCCATTTGAATAATATCGGATTATGTACCGAAAAAAAAGTATATATTATATATAAGATTATAAGATAATAAGTAATAGAAGTGTACCATTAATCAAGCCAAAGGAGATTAAACCGATGTTTGGCTTGTTTGTGCAAGTGAAAGGAGACGAAGATCGTTTTTACGTAGTTAGAATACGGTTGTGTGCAGGCTCTAGGTTAGAGAAGGCTGTGCTCATCGGCCCTGACCAGGACAGAGCACCACCAGGTACACAGGAGCGTAGATGTAGGGGAAAGGTATAGCTCTAGGATGGAAGTGCTATGAAACCTTCTAGAAGCAAATTGTGGCATTTGCCGTCACTTCTAACATACATGTCTGCTCATTGAAAATGTTCACTTTAATCCGTCACATATCGTGGATCATTCAGAAAACCGAGATAATTTTGAAAATATATTTGTTAGCAATTTTTTAAGCAACGTATGATTAGGTATATATCTTCTTTTTACAATAATATAATATAATATAATATAATTTCACCTGCGCATAAATATATATTCACAAGTACATGAAAAATATATATGTTTATAAATTGAACGGAAATTAAGTTACCTACAGAATGATAAATAATAAATTTAGTGTCCGATCTCGTTATTCATTCTGAGTTCGTTAGTCATGCTAATTGTTCTCACTGGACACATATCAATTAAGTGGTGGAGCCTGTAACTTTCGTTGAATTTATTGTTTCTTAACTGGTTAAAGATTAAATATTATTATAGAAATTCGTTGTTCGTTTCATATAATGTTCAAATCTTTCGTAATTCTTCGAGTTAACATTTATCAATTCTAAATGTGAGGTTCTTTCGGAGAAATGTTATTTATTTGGTGTACAGAGATGTGACACAATTTATATTGCAATTTAATTGCGATTATATTGCAATTAAACATTTAATTACTATAATGAACAATAAAAATTTATATTTTTTTATATTTTTTAGTATTTTAGTATCGCTGATATTTCGTATATTAATTATTTTATTAATAATTTTACTCGTAAATTTCATTCATAGCGGAAGTATGATCGTAATACTTACATTTCACTTACATAGAACGTAGAGGGAGCGCAATGAATTTTTGAGTAATGCGTGAAAACATGTAAAGTAACCGAGGTTTAGTGAAAGGTACGCACGAAAAGTATTTGCACCTACACCAACGTCACTGTTCCAATGAAAGTCTCGGTTCTTAAAATGATACCGCGTAACTATTTCATCAGATATAATCAATTTTTATCTAATGTTATAATATGATGATGCAAAATTCTCAAATAAAAAATTAGTTACGTAAAGTTGAAAAAAATGCTTATTAATACTAAATAATTATAATGAAATAGAGTGCAAAGGATAATATCATTAAATATAAAATTCTTATTCGATCGTGAATTATTTTAGTTCAGTAATATAAAGTAGTAAATGAAGTATACAATTTAAAGTATATTTTAATTGTGTATAGTATACAATCATAATAATAAATTTTCGCAAAGAAATTTTGCAAAACAAGTTTTAAAAAAATAGCGATTTAATCCATGCAATAATTATCGTACAATATCATACAGTAAATATATATAAACCTACTTCAAACCTTTCAGTTTCATAAAGACATGAAACTTGTTAAATTAGAAATTGAATAAAAAAACTTACATTAATCATAGCTGATTCTTTGATGCGCATGAAGTAAGATGTAATCTCTACATTTTTTGTTTACATATCTCGTAGCTCGTTTACCTCTTGTATTTCAGTAATAAAAAAGAATTTGAGGAAGAACAATTCAGGTAATGGGTACGCATTAGGTGACTCTCTGCTCATTGCAATAATAAAATAATATACTATAATCATTATCAAATAAAATAAAACAATCGTTATAGTGGATTAAATATTCGTTACGATTGTTCGATATATGTGTTTTGTATCAAAATTTTGCAACAGTTCGTCTACTAATGAGCAAATGTACTTTCTTGGCACCACCATGATTCATTCTCTTGTCGGAAAATTATTCCCCCTCTAATTTACCGAGCATGTCCGGGGTTAGCATCACACGTTTAGTCTTCTATCATATACACGTGCCACCAGTGGATCACTGATAGTCCGATAAGCGGTGGCATCCTGTGAGCGAAGCGTGCTTAATATAGTACCATAGCTATCATTTAGATGAAAAGATTACTCCGGAGCTTTTTTAATTAGTAGAATCATGTGCGACTCAATGCATCGTTTCATATACTTGTTGTTTCATATGCGTTGACACGCTCTACAAATCGTTCTTAATACGCAGTAATCCTGGAAAACAATCCCTTTTTTCAGTGATATTTATTACCTGATTATATTAAGCCATAACTGGTATAATACATAAATTACATCACACAGATAGAAATCAGTTCAAAAGTTCATAAGTCATTCAAGTTCATTAAGTTAGTTAATAGAGCAAAACTTACTTTTCAAAAGTTTCGCACAAAAATAAAAATTCTTGTGGTTTCATTCATTCTATTTTATTAACACAATCATTATTAATACATTTCTTGCTATTTATTAAACTATGAAATTGTAAATCTGTGTTATAATTGTTTCTATAGAAACAATTAATTTTCATTCGACGATAGATCAAAATAAATTTCTAATTACTAAAACGCGTTATCTAGTATTCTACTCAGAATAAATTGTTGTTCTTTTATATTTTCACTTTGAAATAAATTCACTTGTCTATTCTGCTTGTATTCCATCTTTTATGAATATTCGTTCCATTAATAAATAAATCTTTACACCACCATGAATACTCTAATTACACAATTATTACCTACGTGCATCAGTACTGTAGAAATTACATACCCGGTGCAATCAGGTTAGAACTCCTATTTTAAATCTTAAAGAAGTACGCGTACGCATTTGAACATAATTTGCGAATCAAGAATAATATATTGAATCACCACCGTTATTGAGCTGGTTTAAAATCGTCTGTATCAATTAATGACATCAAAAAGAAAATGATTGCTCTTTAAATTGTAGTATTATTATAAATACTGTAGATATTTAGGTGTATTATCACAGTTCTTTGAAATAGAAATTAATAATTTAATTTCGTTTAGAATAATTTATGTTCATCTAGAAATCAGACCAAAAAACAGGCAAGATACACACGTAATTACATTTGTCGAATGTAAAAATATTTTTCCATATTCTCTTTTAGACAGAAAAGTATCACTTGCATTACTTTCCCAATTTTCCAATTAATCATCGCTCGACGATCAAACAAAAGACTAGCCAACTAACTTCTAACTGGAGTTCTAACAGGTTCGTTAAGGTCAAGCGGTGGAAGCCTTTCTTATCTAGAACTATACTCGATCCCGAAGGCAGGCTTACCGTAGGTAAGCGGAATCTAGACTTTTTCGATGGAGAGCACTGGATGTAGAAAGGGAAGTGGCAACAGTAGTCTCTGCACCGAACTCCCATTTGATTTTCCGAAGTACCGTTTTCTTCCACGAAACTAGCTTGATCCATCAGAGTCTGGTGTGTAGGGCAAAGTAACTACCTGCGTAACAAGACCCGCATTTTCCAGGTATAGCTAGAAGCTATATAGTCTACAATTCTTTCTTTTCTCCTTCATCCTGCTGTACGGTCATATAAATTAACCAAGTTAAACAAGTGAACAATGTAAATATATTTTAACGATTGATCTATCTCATGATCGATTTCATACACAGTATTTGTGCAAATACAGTGCTGACAAGAGTGCATTCAGGTGTTCTCAATTATTGGATTATTTGAAGTTGTCTTGATGTTTT